TCTCAAATGAGCTGTAAGTCAATAGACTAGAACAATGTGTGATGTCCGTGGTTTTGTCCCAAAGGCGCCAATAGCTACCTAGTCATGGGGTAGAGAAGGGGGGACAAGTAGTGGTGAAGGGAGGTTACAATATGGCTGCATGACAATTGCCTTGAGAGCAGGGCCTGTCAGCAATAGGCAGTGTGTCTCTCCTCACAGGACATCATCTGTCAAGGTTGTATACAGAAGAGTCAACAGACTCGTGGTTGGAGGAGAGGAAAGTTGGGGAGGCCTGTCCGGTCAGCATACCAGTTGGAAAGGGTAATGGGAGTAAAGTTGAGGGTGCTGAACACATGCTGGCAATGGGTGAGGAAAGTTGGGGAGGCCTGTCCGGTCACAATGCCAGATGGAAAGATAATGGGAGTAAAATTGAGGGTGCTGAACACATGTTGGCAATGGGTGAGGAAAGTTGGGGAGGCCTGTCTGGTCAGAATACCAGTTGGAAAGAGTAATGGGAGTAAAGTTGAGGGTGCTGTACACATGTGTTGGCAATGGGTGAGGAAAGTTGGGGAGGCCTGTCTGGTCAGAATACCAGTTGGAAAGAGTAATGGGAGTAAAGTTGAGGGTGCTGTACACATGTGTTGGCAATGGATGAGGAAAGTTGGGGAGGCCTGTCCGGTCAGAATACCAGATGGAAAGGGTAATGGGAGTAAAGTTGAGGGTGCTGTACACATGTGTGCAATGGGTGAGGAAAGTTGGGGAGGCCTGTCCGGTTAGAATACCAGTTTAAAAGGTAATGGGAGTAAAGTTGAGGGTGCTGTACACATGCGTTGGCAATGGGTGAGGAAAGTTAGGGAGGCCTGCCCAGTCAGAATACCAGATGGAAAGGGTAATGGGAGTAAAGTTGAGGGTGCTGTACACATGTGTTGGCAATGGGTGAGGAAAGTTGGGGAGGCCTGTCCGGTTAGAATACTAGTTGGAAAGGTAATGAGAGTAAAGTTGAGGGTGCTATACACATGCGTTGGCAGTGGGTGAGGAATTTGATGTTGGTTAGACAGCAGCTCTGGGGTTGAGGTTGGCCAATATAACAAATGGGAAAGAAAAGGAGGAGGAAGGGCCAACCAGTTGTTGTCATACAGCCAAGATGCCATGGCAGTGGTGAGAGGAAAAGAAGTTAGTGCCATACAGATGAGTGATGAGGGTTGTGGTCTTCCTCCATGGCAGGGGGGAAAGGCTCATGGGAGTGTGGGTGAAGGGAAGGGCCATCACAGGATGGGGAGGATGGAAGCACTAGTGAGAGAGAGATATGAGGGTAATGTTGTGGGGGAAGGATGGAAGTACTAGTAATGGGAGGGCTATAAGGGTAATGCTGTGGGGGAAGGATTGAAGTACCAGTAATGGGAGGGCTATAAAGGTAATGCTGTGGGGGAAGGATGGAAGTACTAGTAATGGGAGGGCTATAAGGGCCATAGTGGGGGGGGCTATAAGGATAACGTTGTAGGGGAAAAGTGGAAGTACTAGTGGGGGGAGATAGCTATGAAGTTAATTCTGTGGTGGAAGGATGGAAGTACTAGTGGTACAAGTAAAGGGAAGTTGCCGAAACAACAGCTCTATGGTTGGCAACATATTATAGTGGCAGGAGGGAAAGGTTTAGGGGTGCCTCGTACTCTTATAGGCCTTTGGCTATCTATGATGCCCCCCACCCCCCAATGGAATTTCTGTTTTAGCGGCAGGTTGATTGCTACTCCCAGAAAGGATCTTAAAACTTGCCCTTCTGTTGGTTCTTCTGTACAAGTGTTCCAATCTAAAGTAATCTGAGGGACAATGGGAATCTGAATAACCCTTGGGATTGGCAGCGATCAGCTTGGTTTGCTCCAAGAAAGTATTATTTTTTGCCAGAACAAAGAACACTCACCATCTCCTACAGCACGTCTTCCTGGTTGGCCGGACCAGTGAGGTGTCCCTCTATCGATGTTCCTCACAGTGAGATTTTGCAGTGATTTAGCCAACTAAGAAGGAACACAGGTAGAGGTGAGAGTTCTCTTTAGCATCAAGATCACCAGGGTGATACGGCTCAAACCCATAGCAGGTTAAAGAGAAACCGAACTCTGGAAGGTGTTCCCCAACAAAGGAGTCAGAGGGCAAAGGACTAGTCACCAGCATTGCCTCCCTTCTCCCGGCAGCTGATCTTTTCTTTTCTTTCTTTACTGACTTACCATGTGTTGTTCTGCACTGTGTCTTCATGCAGAGGCGGCAATCTTGGTAGAGGCAGGGCTTTGCTTCCTCATGTCAGAGCCTACAGCAAGGAGAACATTGATCAGTACGGTAGTGACATCACCATATCTCCGGACACAAGCAGTCAGAGGCAGCAGTGCCAGATTTCTTATACGTAAGTCATCGATTCTAAGAATTGAAGCCAAACGATCAGTCTTACAGCCAGGCAATTAATGAATTTAAAGTCTGCAATTGTAGCCTCTCAGTTTCTCTCATGACAGCTTTCTAGTAAGTATGACCAATGTCTTTGTCCAGTTCACCCATTAAAGAGAGCATTCACGTTAACAAATATTTTTTTTTTTAAAAGGTTTTGGCTTTAGATACACTTTAAAGCCAGAGTGGCCAAACTCTGGCCTGCCAGCAGTAGTGAAACTACGAATCAAATGATGCATCTGTCTCTGGGAGTCATGCCTGTGGTTGTGAGAATCTTGCAATGCCTCATGGAATTTGTAGTTCCACAACAGCTAAAGAGCCGGAATTTCCCACCCCTGCTTTAAAGAGACCCTGTTGCCGGATCATTCATTTAAAAAAAATGATTCCCATAAGCTTATATGCGTATTTGGATATTTTATGCATGTTATATACTTGTAAAATCCATTCTTGTGTGGACATCAGGAAGCCCTGAGACTGCTGCTGGACACTGCCATCTTGTATGTGATGTCAGCAGCCCCCCAGACTCAGAGCTGTCAATCAAGTGACACTCTATAGCAGGGGTAGCCAAGCTCCGGCCCTCCAGCTGTGAAGGAACTACAAATCCCATGAGGCATTGCAAGATTCTCAAAGGCACAGACATGACTCCCAGAGAGAGATGCATCATGGGATGTGTAGTTTCACCACAGCTGGAGAGCCGGAGTTTGGCTACCCCTGCTCTATAGTAAGGGAACAGAACCTCAGCACTCCAGCTGTTGTGCAACCGCAAGTCCCATGAGGCATTGCAAGACTCCCAAAGGCTTGATGAGCATTGTAGTTTCTCCACAGCTTGAATCATGAGGTTGCCTACCCTTGCTCTATATGTTTCCACTATGCTCTTGCTCCAACTACTACATACCACAATTATGGGAATGAAAAATGCTGCAAGTGAGCATTTAAAATACTGGAGCTTTCTGTGTTTGTACCTGCAATTTTTGTAAAATGGTGACAGGGTCTCATTGACGCAACCCAGCAGTGGAAGAGTTGTTATACTCACCTCTCCGGCGGCCGGTGTCTCCTAGCTCCTCTCTGCTTCAGGACCACAGCCACCATCAGACCGGTCAGCATCCAACACTTCCTGGAGTGTCAGATGCCTGCGTCCCCTCCTGTGTACTTTGGTTCCATCCCACGACCCCTATGTCACTATAGGACACAGCATTGATGTAGGGGTCTGAGGAGGGAACCACTGCACACAGCAGGGTGAGAATGGCATCTGACACTTCCGGAAGTGCCAAAAACTGACCGGAATTGCGGACGCTGGAACAGAGGATGGGAGGAAAAGGTGAGTATACCAGCTCTTCTACTGCAGGAAACTTGTCTTTATTTTTGTTACCTGGCAATGTCAATTTAATTGCACCACTGCATTAAGATAGGAATTAAAAACCGTTTAATAAAATAGAATGAGGCACACGCCAGGGATAAGATTTACAGTCTTCACACATGCTGTGCTCTCCTACTTCCAGGAATAATGATCATTCCAGCAGCACCAGCACTCACTGAGTGAACGCTGTCAGGTGTTCAGGCAAGAACATTCCCCTACCAACATGGCGGCTGGAGGCGCCGCTGGCGGTCACGTGACACGGCAGCGCTTGCAGCTTTCTCCTTTCGCTCATTGGTCACCAGGAGGCGAATCTTCCCCAACCAGCATGGCGGTGGTACTCTTTCCCGTCGCCGATTGGAGAGCTGGGCCCCTCGCCGTTATCTGATTGGCTCCGTGCCCGGGCCGGCCAGGATGACTTCCGGTGGAGCGGAGGAGTACGGCGCTGTCATTTAACGAGGAAGAGGGCGACTGGAGGAAACAAGCACACCCCCCTCCTTTTTTTCTTGTCTTTCCCACACGGGACCGGAACCGGATGAAAAGAGACCCCCCTTCTACCCCCCAGAGAGTGGTGAAGTCTGACCTCCTTGTAGGCATCTCCATCAAGGGTGTGGCCCCCCCACTTAGCCTAACAGGGGCCCCCAAGGGGCACATGTGCCAATTATCTGCATAGGCTTTAGCCTGAGGCCTCCCACTGAGCCCAATTCTGATTCCTCTCATCCTGCCCATTCACTGCTTTTCTCTCTAGTGACTATACCCCCCTATACATATATATAATCTGAATTATTCCCACTTCTCTGTGGGTGTCTCTCCCCATTCACTCCTATTCTATTGCTTTAGAACCCTCACCCTTATGGCATGCTACCCTTCCTTCTACCTTCCTCCCATTGATGCCCCATTTGGGGTAACACAGGGCCCCAAGAGCCACGGGTGCCAATAATCCTGATCCCATCCACCTGATCTGTATATTGACATCCCTATTGACTCCTCTGTCCCCATCCCCCTGCTCCATCCTACATACATTTTAAATATAGATCAGACATTATTAATAGATCCCGCATGCCAATTCTTCCTCCGGCCCGTCTTACCTCTCCCTAGACCCGTGCCACGTTTGGGCTGACGCAGGTTGGCCCCCCTTCGGGTGGGAGGTGGCGTTTATGCCAATGTTTTATAAGGTATTCGTGTCTTTTATTCACATGGCATAGTCAGCGGGTCGCCATCAGCTGCTGCCAGTGCCATTTGACCCACGGGTTGAGACGAAAAGCAAAACATGGTAAGATGTGGTTTTGATCATTCTGTATTTTGGTGGGATTTGGGCAAATGGATCCAGAGCAGAATTGTAGGATTGCTTATGAATGAACCAGCCAGATGTTCTCATTTAAAGAGACCCAGTCACCAACTTGAGGTACATTACAGTTAAGGTACAGAAGAACTGAGTGTTGCACGTGCTTACTTTAAGTGGTTTCCTGTCTATAAATAATTTTTATTGATTTGCAATGTGCCTGCGAACATACCGGCAAGTTTGACTCCACCAGGAAGAGTCAATTCTCTAGCACAGCCCTGTTCCTGCATGCATGTCATAACCCTCCCCTCTTCTGGGACTGTCTGTGCTGGTCAAGCTCCTCCCCTCCCTATTCAACTTTTTATATAGCAGCTGGCGGGAGGAACAAAGGAGAATACTTTAGACCAGAGCACTCCACCTGTAATGAAACTATATATCCAATTGGGCATCTGGGAGTCATGCCTGTGGCTGTCAGTCTTGCAATGCCTCATGGGACGTGTAGTTCCACAACAGCTGGAGGGCCAAGGTTTCCTACCCCGCTTGAGTGATGGCTCTGAGTCTGCTAACTTCACATCCAAGATGGTGACTCCCAGCAGAAGTCTCGGGGCTTTTGGATGTCTACACAAGGGAGGCAAATAATATGAATCAAATATGTTATAGTCTCCTGGTGACCGTTGCCAGCGGGACAAAAAGCAACTGGAAATCGAAACTTCTACAGCCGTCACCAGTACGAGAATACAGCAGAAGTCTTCCAATGGGGACACCTCTTCTGGTGACAACTGAGCAAGAGGGAAATGGTTTGCGGAGAAAAAGGGTTCTCCCCAGTGGGACGTGGACAACAATAGAAATCTGACGAGTTTTAGCCATTCCCTACTCCATCAAAAAGATGTAGAACACCTGACTGGTTGGTTTGGGGTAATAACTTTTTTTGGGGGTATCTTTAAATTGTTAGTAACTTTTTTTTTTGGATAAAGTAGGGAAGGGTTAAAACCTATGCCCATTTTTTTTTTCTCGGTGTCTGTGTACTACTGGTGAAGTTTCCCTTCACTTCCTGTTCAAAATATACATAACAGGAAGTTAGAAAAAATTTCCAAAAGTGAAACTAATTCCCTCCTAGTTGTCTGCGGAACAGATGTCCCCATTGGAAGATTTGCTCTCACCTCTTGTTTTGGGGACACCTTGAATTTCCCATTGCTTTGTGTTTCAGTGACACTGGCCATCGGTACAAATTGAAGGGTGAATCTACCCACTGGGGACACAGAGCCAGCCCCATTGACAACAACTAGAGAAAACCTCAAGAGCTGGGCTCCAGCTGTCATTTTTTAAGAAGCACCTGAGACCCGGCTCCTGGGATCTGTGTGGACCTTTACCCTCAAAAATCTGATTCTACCAATCAACCCCTCTATGTATGATGATACAGACATGTCAGGTGTAAAATGCTGTGATTGTGAAATACTTAGACTTGCAGAGCATTCACTTCCTGCTTTGAAAGGGCAAAATGACTTCAGTTTGTCAACGCAATGCACACTGGGATTGCCTTGTCATCAGCAGAGCATTGCTAGGAAATCTCATCTGTAATCTCAGGAGATCTCGGGGAAAGGCATTTTCCTCCCCTGATATGATATGCATGGTCATGTGTCCTAGTCACATGTGCAAGAAATCCAGGAAGTGACAGGAGATCTAGTAATCTGCCCTTAGTAAACATGGCCACTGTCGGAAGACCCGGGCAGGAAAAGAAAAATAAGGTATACAGAAAATACAAAGCCGGCAATTATCTATTATGTATGCAAAGAGTACAAAGCCGGCAATTATCTATTCTGTTTGTAGATTGTCATTACTAAACATTTGTAAAGGTGAGTTTGTTTTTATTGTAAAGATCTGGGTAAAGGTCCGCTTTATTGCCTCCTACTTCGGTCATATGAACATTAACCCTTTTATCATTGCCCTTTGTCGGGGATACCACTTTGGCAGTATTTTTTTATTTGCTTTTCCGGGCAACAAGTTGCAACATTTTGCTACTAGTTTTTTTTTTTTTTTTTAGATCAACCAATCGGATGTTTGATTTTATAACCACCTCTTGCATCACTTGCCCCTTCCTCATGGACAGGGCTCTCCTTACTATCTTGTCTTGTCTTGATTTGTATTGTAACTGTAATGTCTTCCTTATATTTTAAAGCGCTGCGCAAACTGTTGGTGCTATATAAATGCTAAATATTATTGTTGTTTGATAATAATAATAATAATAATATTATTGTTATTACTATTGTTACGATCTAGACAAAGGAGATCTGGAAGTTGCTTGTGATGGACAAGACTTGTGGGTTGATTTATAAAACCTCTGCCCAGTTATACGCTGGGAGGATGCGGTTTGCATGGCGCTAGGGCCTCTAGATGGCGCGGAGTATACCCGTATTTTTCCGTCTATAAGACACCCCCTTGTATAGGACGCCCCCCACTTTTCTTACCCAAAATTCAGAAATCAATATTTTCCATGCTCTTTTGCATAACTGATTACATCCAGTTTAAATTTTGCAGAGTAAGACAGCCGCTTCCTGGTATTGGTATTTACCGGGATTTGTTTTGTTTTCTGACATTTTATGGGCTCAGAATGCTCCGACATTACCGCTCCCTGTTGCATCTGGCTACTGGCTACAGGCTCTCCGCAGCATCAGCTGATGTCGGGTACATAAGGCTCATGATTGGAGGAAACCTGTTAGCTTGTCTCTGCAATCGGAAGTTTCACTTGTGAGGTTAGTTTGCAGAGGTATCGGCAGTTTCGCAAACGCAGATCTCCTCTCGGCCCCCCGTGTATAAGACGCCCCTCCATTTTAAACAAATCAGGTTTATTGGTTTAGTAACAGTACAGTACAACAGTAGACATGCGTACATGAAAATATGAAACTAACAGGCATACAAGCAGATTGTGTCATGAGACGCAACTCGGACTGATGGAGGCACGGAGACGGGTATGGCCAGAGTCGTATATATATGGAGCTCAAATGGCCTATTACATACCACTTTAGGCTGTAGACCGTGCTGTATGCCCTAATAAACAGAGAAGGAGGGGGAGACAAACCCAAAGACGAAAAACAAGACAACACTAGACGATACAACCCAACAGGGACAACAGGGAGGTGGACGGGAATTGCACACATCGTACTCTAGTAGTCGGGGTTCTGCGGATGTACATATAGGTGAAAGGACCAGAACACATACAGTGGGCAAGGTGACAACCACAGAAAACACTCCAGTTACTAGAATAAGGTTAGTACGGTGGGGAAATCCGTGGAGTCCTGAAAACAAATCCAGAGCAACCACATTTCTCGGAAGAACGCCATTCGGTCAGTATCAATGGCGACCATTTCTTCCATGCGCATAATATCATTTAGGCAGGCCAGCCACGCTGGGGCGGAGGGAGCCTGCGTGGACTTCCAGTGCCCTGCGATAACCTGTCTGGCTGCAAAAAGGAAGAACCGCAGGGGGGGATTCCTTCGCTTTCGAGATCCGAGAGGGGAGCAAAGTGAGAAGTGTCAGGGTAGGAGTGTTTCGTGTGGTCGTGGAATGTGCCCTGTCATATACAGTCAATACCGCGTCCCAAAACCTCTTAATCAAATGACACGACCACCACATATGTAAGTATGTACCTTCAGAAACTTGACATCTCCAGTAGGTCTGCGTCACCGAAGGGAACATACGGTGCAATCGGACTGGAGTAAAATACCACCTGGAAAGTAGCTTAAAGTTGCGCTCCTGCAATTTACACGACATTGCCAATTTGTGTGTAAAGACGAAAATCTTGTCCTAGTCAGTGGGAGACATAGCAGAGTCCACATCCTCAGTCCACGCGTTAGTGAAAGAGGGCAGGGAGGAGGAGTACTGGGAGAGAAGCAGTTGATATAGTAGGGAGATGAGGTGTGCAGGGGGGATGGAGGAGATGCATAGCTGTTCAAACGGAGTGAGAGTCCTGGATGTGTCGGGCGTGGAGCGTATAGAGCGGTAGTAGCTGGATAATTGAAGAAAGGGCATCCACGCTCGACCATCCAGGGAGTTTTGATCAAGAAGTGTCTGGAAAGAAATCATGTCACTACCGCAAACAGTATGGCGTATTTGTGGCCAAAATTGTCGAGTCCATCCTAGAAAGGAAGGAGCGTGAAGTCCAGGAGGGAAGTGAGGGTTGTCCAGTATGGGCGTCAGGGGGCTTGGCAGAGTAGAAAGTTGTGAAGTCGTGCGGGAGTGATGCCAACATTTTAGCACAGAGAAAACAAGAAGGGGCCATTCCACGCTGCCACCCACCTCCGTCAGAGGTGTCCATAATGCTGCCTTAGAATGTAGTGGGGATGTTGAGATTTCCAGAGACACCCATTGTTTATGTGACGTTCCGTGGAACCAGTCCAAGACCCTAGTCAGTAAGGAAGCTTTGTAATAGAGGAGGAGGTCCGGTAGTCATGCACCTCCACGGACTTTAGGTCTGGTCAGCAGGCGGTAGTTAAGTCTAGGTTTGGTATCTTTCCAGACAATTGTTCGGAAGACATGTCGCAATTTCAGGAAGAAGGGGCGAGGTACATGTATGGGGACTGTTTGGAAAAGGTATAGGAATTTAGGGAGGATATCCATTTTAAGCACGTTCATGCGACCGAACCACGAAAGGGGTCTAGATCTCCATGTCTGAAGATCTGCCCTTGTCCTGGTCAATAGGGGGACATAATTGAGCTCATATAAACGGGACAAGTCAGAGGGCACGCGAATCCCAAGGTATGTAAAGGAGGAAGATTGCCAGGAAAACGGGAAGCGAGAGCGTAGTGAAGAGACTATTCTGGTTGGGAGGGAGATATTAAGCATGTCTGATTTATCATAATCCACCTTGAAGTTGCTAACAGAGCCGAAGGAGGAGAGTTCCTCCATAAGATGTGGTAGCGAAAGGCTCGGTTGAGTTAAATATACTAGGAGGTCATCAGCGTATAACGCCACCTTGTATTCTTCAGCGCCTACCGATATGCCATGTATGGAGGGGTTTGAGCGGAGGGCCTCAGCCAGATGTTCCATCGTGATCACGTAGAGTATAGGGGACAACGGACACCCTTGTCGTGTGCCATTTGAGATTTTTATAGGGTCAGAGAGTCTACCATTCGCGCACACACGAGCATATGGAGACTTTTATATAAGGCCATAATTTTGGATATGAACGGAGCTCCAAGCCCCAATTGGGTCAGTGAGGCGTGGAGAAAGCGCCAGCTGACCCTGTCGAACGCTTTCTCAGCGTCTAGGGAGAGCAAGCAGGCCGGGAGTTTCTTTTTCTGGATATAGTCAATCAGGGCTATGGTCTTGGAGGTGTTGTCCCTTGCTTCCCTTAGCGGGACAAACCCAACTTGATCATTATGAATTATGGAGGGCAGGAGGGGTTGAAAACGGAGGGCCAGTAATTTAGCATATAATTTGACGTCGCAGTTCAATAAGGAGATAGGGCGGTAGCTCCCGGGCAGTGAGGGGTCCTTACCTGGTTTCAGTATGAGAGAGATGTGAGCTAATAAGGATTGAGGGGCAAAAGGGCAGGTGGGTGAGATGGAATTAAATGTGTCTAACAGAAAAGGGGAGAGTTCAGATGCAAATAATTTAAAGAAACGTGCTGAATAGCCATCCGGGCCAGGGGCTTTACCGCTTTTGGTAGCCTTAATGGTCTTATTCAGCTCTTCAATGGTGAAAGGGGAGTTTAAGGATTCCAGGGCGGTGGGCGGTACAGTAGGCAATGCCGTCTTGGCTAGGTAGGCGGGTAAGGCCGGGGGTTCTTGCACGGGCGAGCCAGAGGGTCCTAGAGAGTCTATATTATATAATTGGGAGTAATAGTTATGGAAGGACTGCAGGATTTCCGAATTCGAGTGTACAATCTTTCCATCAGGGGAACGTATAGAAAGGATATTGTTGAGGCCAGGGCGCGGATGGATAGTGCGAGACGCCCCTCCATTTTGAGGTAAATATTTTTATGAAAAAGTATAGTCTTATACATGGAAAAATACAGTAGTCATTTTCTGTACTTCACAGCGCCATCTAGGGGAGCTAGTGCCATGAAAACTGCATCCACCCGGCTGTATGCTGGGCAGAGGGTTTATAAATAAACCCATAAGTCTTGTCTATTGCAAGCAACTTCCAGGTTTCCTTTGTCTAGATTAATAATAATAATCAGGATTTATATAGCACCAACAGTTTGCGCAGCGCTTTACAATATAAGGAAGACATTACAGTTACAATACAAAGCAAGGCAAGATGGTAAGGAGGGCCCTGCCACTGAGAAGTTTGCTCACCATACATGCAAGAATCTGACTATACCACCTTTGTACAATTAACTTTAAAGTTAATAAAACAAAGTAATCTGAGAACCCGCCTCATCTATCTAATCAGTCCGTGTCCAATCAGGTGCGACCTTGTACTACATAGTTGTTAGCCGAGCTATAGGAAATCAATCAGATTGTATGATGTCATGAGCTTTACAGCAAGTCTGTGATAATAAATTCCAGAAACTGATTTAATTTAATCAGTAAACTTTTTAAACTTCTTTATCTTCTGCTGTTGTGTCAGGGAGGGTTAGGCTCTTTTATATTTGTCCTTTGAATGGTTGAAAGAGTTGTTACATCCTTCACCATAGATGATTCATGCAGGAAATTAGTAAATACTACACCTTGTTGTCCGCACCACTTACCGTATGTCTACATAGAGCATCAGAGTTGCAGCTTAGGAGGATGTAGCTACTGGAGCTGATTTATTTAAGGCACATCCACGCTATAGCGGTGACCTGCGTTTTCTGCACGCAGAGAACGCAGGTCACCACTGGGGCACATAGAGCTCAGTTGTTTTCTGTGTGCCCTGTTGACACCACAATTCGGGTGTGATGGGCAGTGCGCTGTGCTGCGGAATAAATGCAGACATGCTGCATTTTTTTGCAGCACGCTGATTGGGACAGTTCCTTGTGGTGTCCTTCTAATTGGCATAAGCACAGCTTTTTTTGCCCCTTTTTATATAATATTATTATACAGGATTTATATAGCACCAACAGTTTGCGCAGCGCTTTACAATATAAGGAAGACATTACGAGACAAGATGGTAAGGAGTCCATGAGGGCTTGCAATCTAAAAGGGAGGGGCAAGTGATACATGAGGAGGTAGCTGTGTGGGGGTGAATTGTTTGAGAATGTGATGGTGGAATATAGTATATATCCTCTCTCTCCCCCTCTATATAGTGAAAGAATGATCACTGAAGGCAGCCTGCGTGCAGAAGGTCGACATTTACCAAATCCAAGATTACATTGGTGTTGTCATTTTCTATTCTGTAATGTTTTAATAAACCAGGGAAGGGCTCAGAACTACTGTTAAGTTTGAGGGGAAGAAAATGCTTTTCACTGAGGTTTTGTAGTTTCCAGATGAGGTTTCCTAGGAAGGCGCTGGTGATGTAGTCTTCCTAGGATGCATCTGTGATGCCAGGACTACATCACCAGTGCCTCATCCAACCAGGAAGCGGAAAAACAGTAACTAAGTAAAAGCAAGCTAATGCATGTGATAGGATTTCATATCTGCATGTAGAGCTGCATGTGGATGTGATTTATTTGGGGGGGGGTTAAAGGCTCGCTTTAAACCTGTTGTCCTGATAGCTGGTGAAGCCTAAAGTGTCTATAGTCTACAAATCCTGCCAGAACCTACGCGGTGGAGAAACCATCATGATGTCTATGGGTACCTTTTTAAACACCGTTTAAAGCATACTACTGCTATGTTTTTAATGCAAAATGTGTATTTGGCTTCTACATAGTCTTTTCAGAAGAGCCCTATAACGGCATGCATCCTGACAACTGTCCTCTGTGACAACTGTGTTTCTGTTTGCAGGCGTCCGAAGAGGCCTCGCTGAGAGCCCTGGAGAGTCTTATGACAGAATTCTTTCACACAAGCACCTCCAATGAGCGGAAAAGAGAAATCGGTAAGAGAAGCCGGTGGGAGGGCACATGAGAAGCTATCATGTTATACAGTTACATTTTTTTTTTCCCCCCCACTATGTAAATTAAAGACAAACTCTGGGCAAAAGTGTTCCTAACCCTTTCAGTGCGGCGGTAGCCTGTTCTCATTTTTGTCTAGGTGCTAAAAAAATAAAAGTTATTCTTACCCGAACTGCTGAGCTTGTTTCCTGCTTCTCCAGTTACTGAAGCCTGTCTTCTCCTACACCGCAGCATTGGAAGGTTCCGCAGCGTCCCCAAGTCTATACACAGTGTGTAGAATATGATCGTCTATGGGACCTTAGACGGTGGCCTTAGACTGCTGCAGAGGAGGGGGAGAGAGGCAGAAGGGACGGTCTAAGAGCAAGCTGGCTGCGAGGATCCGCTGAGTATAACTTTTTTTTTTTTCTTTGTAGCACCTATACAAAAAAATGAGCAATTAACCCTTGCAATGAGGGGGTGGCCCTACTGCAAGGGTTAAGCAAAATTCTGCCTGGAGTTCTGTTTTAAAGGAGAACTATGAGGTGAGTGATTTACTCTCATCCTCATACTTAGATCCGACCTGTCACAGGTCGACTCTATAGATCGGGAAGTGAGTGAACACATACCGCTGCTTGCTCACTTCCTGATCATCTCCCTGCAGAGAGCGGTGACTGTCAGTCATCACTCCCCGCAGGAATTCCCCCTCCTCTCTCCCATTCCTCCAGCTCTGACTGGAGGAATGGGAGAGGGCGGGCACAGCTGCCTCTAGATAGGCAGAGCCCACTGTCAATCAGTCAGCTGTGTGGATCTCAAGAGTATTGTCAACATCCGTCCCGGCTGCAGCGCTCTCAGTATATAGCTTGCTATATACTGAGCTTTGGGTCACGGGAGAATTAGTATATGTCCTCCTGTGACCCTAAGGAGAACTCTGGGATAAAAAGGTTACCCCAAGACTGTAGTCTAAAGCAGGGGTAGGCCCTCCAGATGTGGTGCAGCTACAAATCCCAGTAGGCATTGCAAGACTCTTAGCAGCCACAGGCATGACCTCCAGGGGCAGATGCGTGGTGATATTTGTAGTTGCGTCACAGCTAAATGGCCGTAGTTTGCCTACCCTTTGCCTAAAGTAAGGAGATGATCGAGTATGGTGCAAAAACTTTAGAGCATCAGAATTACTGGTCTCTCGCTTCTGGTAACCCAACAGGTCCTGATTGTTGAAGGCAGTACTCAGGTTGGTTAGCTGTTTGTTATTAGATGTGTATGGGCATCCTGAGACCCTCATGTGATTCACGCACATGGCATGAATTCTTGAGTGTATTTGCTTGTGGCCATGTATTGGGGTTTGAGTGTCCTTGCACATGGTGCTCTATGCGTCTCCTGTGCATAGTGATGTCTCAATTCCCATTTAGTCTTTGTAATGTGGACATAGCCCGAGGGCAGGGTGTAGAGCAGGCTGAGTCAGGCTGGAGGTTTTACTTTAGCTACACTGCAGTTTATCACTTTGGTGGTTCAAAACATCTTACCACTGACCTGATATCAGAAATGTCCTTGCTTTGTATAGGGCTTGTTGATGTCAAAAAAACCAGGAAAATTAAATAGTTTACAACCTTGTGTTTCAGAGAATGCAGTAAAGTCGTTTTGTTGACGTATGAATTTGTCTCCTTTACAGAGGCTCTGCTGAATAATTTTGCTCAGCAGCTTGGAGCCTGGAGGTTCTGCTTCTACTTCCTGTCCAGCTCACACAATGACTATGTGCTGATGTACAGCCTCAGCGTCTTTGAGGTAAGAACTCGGAATATTAAACTAGGATGATGGCCAAATTCGTATGTACGCAGGCCTTCTAAGTTGCTTTTAGTTCATCAATGTGCAAAAAGCACCTAGAAATTCATCCAAATGTGTTGCTCCTTCACTTCCTTTAGTAGGAATACAATGCTGTAAGGCCACTTATTCAATCCAGGATTGCATTGTTACCCTTGTGTTGAGTTTGGTGTTCCCTCTTTGATATCAACAGGAAAAGGTGAGGTAATGGGGGGCATGACTATAAGCGCAGTTGCTCTTCATTAACAATCCCATGGCTTGTCAATTAGCAGTTGGCCAGACCTAGCCCTGTCTGCAATCTGTCATTGTAGCTTTAATTTAGGCAGCAACAGCTTGCTTGTCACAGGGAAATACCATAGAAGCTCCGAATAACTCCTCCTCGTGCATCTAGTGTGGTCTGTCTCCTACAGAACGCTGGTCAAGTGACAAAGCCAATTAGAAATCCTAATACCGGTAGTATGTCACCGATGGGATATTTTTAACCCAGAAACCTTTTAGTTGTACTTTACTTCTACCAAAACTTGAAGTTTAATTTTGCACCGTTACTGTCAAGTAGAATGGCATGTGGGCGTCCTATGTCTCTCGGCGAATCGAGTGGTGAAGTTCCTCCAACACATTTCCTAGTTTTTTTGTTTTTTCTTAAATGTTTGTATTATTTTATTAAAGCATTGAAAATAATTCAGAACATTGTTGCAATGAAATACAGACTATGGACATGTAATGGATATACATTCAGAGTAAGGGCTTGTTCACACGGAAAGTGCGTGCGTTCCAGAACGGTAGCTGCTGGAACGCTCCGAGATCGCTAAGAAACTTCCCCCCGCTTTCTGGGGCGGGAGGGGGGGTGGCGGTGCATTAAATTCAATGGCACCGCTTCCTCGCCTTACTGCGGGCTGGGGGGGCGTGGAAGCTGTGCCATTAAATTCAATGCACCACCACGCCCCCTCCCGCCCCAGATCGTAGGGAGAAGTTTCTCAGCGATCGCGGTGCGTTCCAGCAGCTACCGCTCTGGAACGCACACGCTTTCGGTGTGAACAAGGTCCCCATATATGGTCAGGTTACTCACATTTCCGTAGCTATCCGGGCCTCAAGCTATAAAACATTTGGTCAAAAACCGCATCCATAACGCAGAACCATTAATTTTCGAACCCAACTGTTACAGGCCGCTCAGGGCTCATGAACAGAGAAATTATCCGTATAAAGCTTCCCTATATTAGGGAGGCAAGGTACAGATCCCTTACCGCAATGTGTCATATGTTGTAATGTAAGACAATCTATTCTCAAGTGCTACCGGCAAAGGGCAGCACCAATGAGAAAAATTAGTACACATCCCGTCCGCCACACCCATGGATTCCATCCATGAGCGAATCCGGGCATTGATTAAAGTCAAGGTCGAAACCAGGCGACCCTACTTTCACCCCAGGAGAGAAGGGGGATGGATAGAAGGGAGTACAGTTGGGAAGCAGAACAAAGGAATGAAGGGGAGATAGAAACGGCAGAAGGAGACTATTACGCAGGTCCTCCAATGGCAACTGGCAATTTGCATACCTGGATCGCACCCTCAGACCACAGGCTCCTCAAGGGTTCAGGGGGCGCAAGCAACCCTTGAGTTAGGAGGATCCATGTCCAGCTGAGAGTCCTCTGCGAGGCTCTTAAAAGGTGCCAGGGTTTCCATGTGGATCCAAAGCCACAATTCCTAGTTTTGTCCAGCTGTTAAAGCCATTGCAAAGCTAGAACTGTTAGTGTTACACTCCCCTGGCTCTCCATAATGCCAAATGACCTAATTTTGGGGGGTCTTTAGGTATATCATGGTGGGGGGAGAGACTTTCAGCTTTGCATGTTCATGCTGAGCTATCTGCTTAGTAGTACAGTCCTGTGAATGCCCTTTACTGTGTCTTTTATCTCATTGCAAGGCCATGGGTAAGCTCAGCCTGACTATAATTCATACACGGTGACTTATCTCATTGATTTTCTTTTTATTATTATTATTATTATTATTATTACTACATAGTATTTATATAGCGCCAACAGTTTGCGCAGTGCTTTACAATATAAGGAAGACATTACAGTTACAATACAATTCAAGACAAGATGGTAAGGAGGGCCTGCCCATGAGGGCTTACAATCTAAAAGAGGAGGGGGAAATGATACAAGAGGTAGCTGTGGGAATGAATTATGTGAGAATTGTTTAGGAAGGATGCTAATTGCACCGACTAATATAAACATGGTGCTAATATTTTGAGCTTACAAATCTTAATCATGAAAATGTGGCAAAGCAAGCCTGTTAAAATGAAATTCGCATAAAAAAATAAATGATCTGTTTTTAGTTATTGCCGTTCGATCGCTTTCACACTGCAGTATGGTGCCCATAAGTCATTCATAGGACGCTTGTCGTGTTCCTCTACATGTAGACTTGTGTATGATTGTTTCAGTTCATATTTGTTGAATGGAAGGCTTAACACATCCCAGTGCCCGGAACATGCCATGTGCTGATTTTTGTTTGGCTTCCATTAACTTTTAAAACAGCAACTCAGTTCAACAGCAAGCTCCACTCACAGGCCTCCCGATAGAGGTTCATGTCAGGTGAAGTGTGTAACTTGACCAGCACGGACATCTGTTATCGGTCCCGTGCAGAAGAAGCGAGCGGTGCTTGGCTCCCCATCTCACTGCATGCGTGAACTTCACAAATGTTAAAGCAAAAATTCAGAACACCAGAACAACATGACCCAGACATTAATATTTGCTGCAGTAAATCTTCCCCTGAGATTGTCGGTTCTTGGTTTTTAAGGAAGACTCTTACTCTTAAGGAGTCCATAGACGTTGACAGTCATTCATCTGGCATCTTGACCAGATTGGCAAGCAGCAGTCTAATATCCATGGGGTGCCAGCAGACACTGGCGGCTGAGGTTAGTCAGGGCGTTTGACCGTAGTCCAATCCTATCTGCACATTTTGACTTCCCTCTAACCTCTATGATTCTTCAAGTGATGAGGAACATTGGATTACTTGATGTGTATGTAAAAGCGAAAACGTTTTTGTATTGGGGTCGCTTGCACCACTTTTTTTTTTTTTGCTAGGCCTTCTGTAGAAGTTCCTTAGGAATGGAAAACATATAGGATAAGTAATGGAAGTGCCACTCCATTTACAATTGGCAAGGAAAAGCCAACAAGTTTCACGATATGGGTTCATGGGCTGTACAGGCAGTCCCCGAGTTGCATACGACCCCTACTTACAAATAGAGGCTTTACTGTACAGCAGGGGGTCCCAAGCTGCAGCCAACGCAGCGTTCCAGTAGTTGTAATGCTACCGCACTCATGCAGACGAGGAGTGTGCCCGCCTTTTAGGGTCAGGTTCGTAGTACTCTATGTACATTACAGGAAGTTTGCTCTTGTTAGACATGCAGACGAGGGGTGCCCGCCTCTTCGTCCGGGTCACTGTGAGGTTTTTACTGCAGTCTGTATCCTCATTAGAAAGATTTAATCTCACTTCCTGTCCTTGAGACAACAGGAAGTGAGAGGCAATCTACCCTTAGGAAGGGAAATTCACTCCTGTAAGAGTTATCATGGGGGAAAAAGATGTCTCCACCGAAGCTTGATCACCAATCCTTGTTTCCACGACAAACCAAAATTTTCAAAATCCACAGGGACAGAAAGTGAGGTGAAAACTGAACAGGGGCACACACAGCAAAACAAACATTACAGGGGGTAAAGCCTTCCCTATGCTATCCAAAAGGAAAAAACATTTTTTGGGCTGGAGTTACACTTAAAAAATGTACCTGATCCAACTTACATACAAATTCAACTTAAGAACAAATCTATAGAGCCTTCCTTGTTCGTAACCCGGGGACTGCCTGTAATAACTTTTTTAGGGCTATTCATTTATTAAACTGTGAATATAATCAATGTTTGATCTACAGCACTATTTAAAATATTCACAAATTAGGAAAATTTTAATTCTATAGGATGAAAGTAGTTAAACTATAGTAACTACCAAAATGAGATCTAAACATATTTTTTTATACATGCACAACATGTAACCGTTTGATAGTCATAGAGGTTACCTAAAAAGGATCAAAAGAAGTCTGGGCCAGACAATATTATTAGATGCCCAGGTAATTTAAAATGAAAATGTAGCCTTGTGATCTCGGAGTTACAAAATTGAATCAAGTGATAAAATTGAGTGAAGAAAAAGGTTCTTGGAATGTGCCAGGTATAAAAAGTATTGAACGATATCAGTAAAACAATACTTATACCCAGCGCACTCAAAGACCTTTGACCAACGTTGGAGCTACCTTTTATATCTTTCAGCATCAAGAAGCTGTTTCCCAGATTTGCAGTGTTGCCTCCTGGTCTTTTGGTTATATGTTCTACAAGGTAGATGTTGTGGCCTCTCCTGGTGCCATCTTTGGACGTAAGGTCATTTTCAGCTGCAGGGTGTCCCCAGTTCTCTTGGGCCTGTTAGCATTTTTTGCTGTGTTGCCCACCCGTCAGTTGGATGTCTCCAAGGTGAATGACTTGCTCTGTCCGTCAATGGACAAGAAAGTGAAAATAGGATTTCTGTACTCGCTATAAAATCCTTTTCTTGGCGTCCACATAGCGCCACAGGTTCTACCCCCCTCTGTGTTTCTGATCATGCTCTTGGTGATGCTTTGCTACAAAACTGAGGAATGGCGATTGTAGGGCGAGTTAAGCGTATGCAAAAACCTGTTTTGAAGCAAAATCGGTCTATGGGGATGTTAAAACCCACTTGAAGCAGCTCAATTTAATTTTAGAAGGAGGTCAACTGCAGGACAAATGCTCCTGTCAGTGCATTCTGAATGGTCTCGGAAGCATCTCCATGTGAAGCCGTCGACACAAGCTCAAAGCCCGTTGACACAGGCCCTGACTAAACCTAGGCAGTGCTTAAAGAAACCGCTGCCAAATATGAGATTCTAATCAACTAGCTAGTTCATAATTGGTAAACGATACTCCAATCTGTACTCGGAGACCCTGTTACTCCCCCATTAATTGTCCCCATATTGGCTCTCTTGCTGCTCAGAAATGGTAAAGTCAGGCTCACACATTAGACACCTCTGTTCTTCCTGTGACAGACGTGTCACTTCTGTCTGCATCTGATAATGTGGGCTTAGCTGTTGACATTAGACAAAAATCATACATTTGCAAAGCCATGAAATCACAGTTTTTTCGGCCAAGGATGCATTGTTTTTGGTGGAAATAAGTGCATTTTAGGTTATGAAGGAGATTATGAAGATAACATTATTGGGGAATGGAAAGGCTCACTAACTTTTTTTTTTTTTTTTCCCCCTGTACAGAACTTGATCAACAAGATGTGGCTGGGTGTCCCCTCGCAGGAGAAGATGGAGATCCGTAGCTCCTTGCCCAAACTTCTACTGGCCCAGCACAAGAATCTCCCAGGCTTTATCTGCAACAAGCTGTGCAAGGTCATCGTGGACATGGGTAGACAAGACTGGCCAATGTTCTACCATGACTTCTTCACCAATATCTTACAGGTGAGAAAATCGCTACAAGCTTCTTAACAAGACTGCTATATAGATAAATCTAAACCTGTGGAAAATAACAAAATGTGGGCTGCCATCACTATCCCATCCTGACAATGCTAGATACCTGGGAATAATGTTGGTTCAGTGGCTTCATTGATTTTAAATTCCTTCAGTCATTTGAGGAATTTAGACTTCTTTATGACTTTTTTCTAATTGGCTTGTTCAGTCTAAGTCCATTGTTCTGCGAAAACCAGGCAGGGTTCACCAAATGTAGGCCCTACATTTCTTATTGTACGGTTTTCCTTTATAAGACTCGCATATCACACAGGTGCTGTACAGGTAATGACACCATTGCTCTCTCCCCTAACCTAGCTAATCCAGAGCCCCCGCACCACGCCGCTGGGACTCATAATGTTGAAGACTGCATCTGAGGAGTTGGCTTGTCCTCGGGAGGACCTTAGTGTGGCCAGGAAAGAGGAACTTCGCAAACTGCTGCTGGAGCAAGTGCCAACAGTGCTGGGGCTGCTAACAGGTAATGCAAATTCTGACTTCCTGCTCTGCCTCTCTGTGTCTGTATAGGACGGAGTGTAGTTGCACTTACCACAGTGAAATGGCGCATTGGCATATCCCTCTGCAGTGCATGCTTGTCCATATAGCGTAGGGAGTTCTAATGCATAGCATTGAGGGATGCAGGAAGGAGGACGCTCTTCCATGCTCATCACTTGTCTGTACTGGACATGGAGCTATTGCACATAGTATTGAAGGATTCCTGAAAGGAGGAGTGTGTGCTGATATGCCCTTCTACAGTGCATGCTTCTTGCTATAGGACCCAGAGACTTAGCACATAGCATTAAGGGATACATGAAAAAGGAAGTGGTGGCGTGTCTCTCTTTGCGGTGCACACTTCTATGCACAGGCCAGAAAGACATAGCACATAACATTAAAGGATACCTGGGGAAGGAGGGAGATATGGTATGCCCCTTTTGGAGTCCATGTTTAAATAGTAAATAGCATTGAGGGATGTCTGGAATCAGTGGGAGCTCTGGTATGTCCCAATTTTATATATAGGCTACAAATGCTTAGTAAAAAGGCATTGAGGGGTGTCTGGAGAAGGAGGGAGATATGGCATGTATCTGTGGTGTGCACAATTCTCTGTATAGGACAGACAGTCATAGTGCATATCATTGAGGGAGATATGACATGCTTCTCTGTGGCGCACAATTCTCTGTATGGGGTGGATAATCAGCATATACCATAGAGGGAGAGAGATGTAGCATGGTCCTTCGTAGTACTCAGCTCTTTGTATTGGATGGTGCATAGTTTTGAGGGATGCATGGAGAGGTAGGTTGATATGACATGCTTCTCTTTGGCATACAAAGCTTTGTATAGGATGGAGAATCTGCACATATTATTGAGGGAGGAGATGTAGCATGGTCCTTTGCAGTGCTCAGTTCTCATGGTGGGAATCCTAGTGCATAGAACTGATGGATGCTTGGGGAAGGAGGGAGATATGACAGGTCCCTTTGGTGTGTACACTTCTCTATATAGGGCAGACTGTCTGAGCGCATATCATTCAGGGAGGCATGGAGAGGGAGGGACAGTTGCTAGACTCTAACATTATAGCTGGAAGTTGCCATTTGCTTTTGCATATCGAGCGCTACAGGTTTGCGGCTTATGGATCACTGGTAACGACAAAAGCTGGAACCTAGAGGTGCCTGCACATAACTCTGGTTAAGTTTGTTGATCTAGTTTTAAAGAAGAGATGGGTTTACTTCAGCAGTACTGTACTTTAACTTGTTAACTCGGACAGACGGTGGTTTCCTTTCATGTAATGTCTCCAAATACAAGCTCTGTAGGACTGTCTACGTTCAATAATTTTTTTTTTCTTATGTAACGACTACTTTAGTTCTCAAACTGTTAATTTTTATTGTCCTATTCATGCCTGCGTTTCACTTTACAGGCGTGCTGGAGAGTATTTGGAATAAGCACAGTGTTACTACAGCCACACCTCCACCTTCACCTACTGCATCAGATGCCGGTAAATATGGTTGTAAAATTTTAACTCCTCTTGGTTTTCCTTTTGCTTGTTCTTCATGCAATGACCAGAAAGTTGTTTGTAACAGATTGGCTTCCCAATCTGCATGCACATTCCTGGGCAGTGGAGAAGCATTAGCAGTGAAGCGGTTTTAAAGTAATAGTTATGGAACTAATATGCTAATAAGTTACGGGAAGGCATATTCTACAAGACGGGTATTAAGCTTAAAGTGAATACATCAGGCTCACGTAAGTGTCCCCCTACCTCCCCAGATGCACACACTTACTACCATGTTCTCCTCTTTTTGCTCCCGGTAGCCGGACAGTCGGGGAGAAAAGAAAAGATGAGTTACTGCTACTTTTGAGGGAAGATGTTAAGTGAACTTGTTGTTTTGCCCTACGTGGGAAACCACACGTTTCTTTAATGATATTCCCTTTTTAAAAATAGAACAGGGCAACAGTAAGCATAAGAAAATCTATCAAAGTGCCTTCCGTATTTCATATTGACCTGTATTCCAAAAGCTGTGATGTTTTTGTCCAGTTCAGTTAATGCACTATGGGAGTCAGTTGTAGCTTTTAAGGTATGTATGTAAAAAAATATATATTTTTTCTATTTTTGGATTGATTTATGGAAGTATTCACAACCCTTTCAGATTTGTATTGCTATGTCCCCACTTAGTGGATTAATCCTCTCTATTTGTCCTGGGGACCACTGCCGCTGTGACGGAAAGTGCTGGGGGAAATAGAAAATGTTAGTCACCAGAACAAGAGGTGAGGGAATATCTTTCAATTGGGATACCTGTTCTGGTGATAACTGTCCCTTCACTTCATAGCAATTTGATGTCTTTTCCTGTTGCATCCCCAGGACAGGAAGTGAAGGTTAGTCTCTCCAACTGAGTATAGACAGCAGGAAATTAACTGACAGGTTTTAACCTCCACTAAAAAAAAACTATTTTTGTCTAACCATTCACTTTCACTGAGCCTACAGCAGAAAGAAACTTTAGGATAGGTGTCACCAGTGTGGACAGAAAAACTTTTCATTCAGACACAGTGTCACCAGTGTGGCAATATTGACTACTGATACAAAAACCAAGTAGGAGTTGGTGCAATGACTCCAGTGTCGTCACCCTCTTCCTGCTTTACATCTATAGAGCACAACAGAAGTTTGATCTTTTTTATGATGCTACAAATCTTAATCAGTAAAATAACTCCTGTATAGGTATTTCAGTCGTGTGTTTAACAGTTTTTGGTGGCAGTTAGATACAATCCCTGTCTTGTTTCCTTGTGTGCCATGTCCTTCATTTTAAATGCTTCTTTACATTCGCTTAAAGTTTACTACACTTTCCTCCATTGTGTCTTCCGGCACGTGTGACATTTCCCCATGAGATCATTAGTGTCTCTGTGTGTGTTGCTTATTTCCTTCCTGTTCACTAAAGCGTCTGTGGTTCCTTGTGTAATTTAGGCCTGATCTTTTCAGTGTCAGTGCAAAGGGGGGCGGGGAACAGAAAAACTTGTCATTCAGACTCTTCATTATTGAATAAAAATAAATATATATATATATATATTACAGAATGCACTAGAACAACAAAAGCTGTTGGCCAGTTTATATGCTTTTTATACTTTGTGCAGTTCATTTGAAAGAAATCTGCAAAGAAACAAACTTTGACTGGCTGCTTGATGAGTTTGTGAATGGAGAGCAGGGTGCATTGCTACCCTCACCTGTGGAATCTGTAAGATTCTCTTTATAGGAAGTTCTATCTGCAATATCTTGTGTCTACACACAATGACGGCATTGCACAGATTACACTGTAAAGTAATGATGCGTTTTAAGCATCATGATTCCAATCTAGCCTGACATGGAGCAAAAGCTGCATGCTTGTGTACATCTCTTAAATGCCAATTCGCTAAATACCTTTAAAGGGAGTCAAGGTTAAAGGTGTTCAAAGTCTTGAGCTGGGTTGACACGGGTGCTCTGTAGGAACATGCCAAAGCATGTGCTGCTGCAATGCTATTCATTCCTAATGGCGCTCCAACACACCTTGCTAGTGCATGTGAGTGTTTTCTCGCACCACAATGCATGGTGCACCATGTGTGGTGGTGTGCTGCCTTTCATAAAAAAAAAATAAAAAAAAAGACATGCACCTTTTTTATTTTTTTGGTGCATTTTAGTGCACTAGGGTGCGTATTCAATTCTGTAGGCTGCCCTAACAATGCATGTTAACGTGTGAAGTAACATGCCAACACGCTTTGTGCTAACAGACTGCAAAAGTGTGAACCTAGCCTTACAGTTTAATAAGATAAAAAAGAGGAAACTTGACCAAAGTTTGAGAAATAACTTTAGGCCAATGCTGAAATAACTTAAAATATGTGCACGCTGAAAATGTACTCTACTGTCCCTCTAATGTACATTTGCTATGCCCTACCATGTGTTCCTTTTGAAGGATGTGCTTTCTAGAAACAGCAGGTAATCTAGGAAAGAAATGCATAGGTGAGAACAATGGGATCTTTTCTATAGGAGAATTTTAAAGCACAACTGAACTTTCTGTTTAAATTGTCTAAACACATTCCAGTAGTAGAAAGCCTGTCCATTGCCAGCATGCTGCAGATAAGAAATCTTGCTCTTTGTGGGGAAGCAGATGTGGCTCTGTGGAGGTCCAACACACCCTCTACTGAACCAGATGTATAGCTCTGCAATCTGTAAATCGCATGCTCCCTGCTGGTTGGAGAGCTAGTTCTAACTCAGCGGGGAGGCATGTTAGACCTCAGGAGAGAGACTACTGTTTCCACACAGAGAGCAAGGGTCCTTATCTGCAGCATGCTGAGAATAAACATTCCCTTTTAATAGTGCACATGCATGCATGCATGCATGCATTTTTAATGCATGGATTTGCTCAGGGTTGCCGTCCTCCCCTTTCAATACACATACAGAGAACACCTAGTAAAAAAAGCAAGGCCTTTTAAGCGTATATTATATTTTGCATTTGTGCCATTATTTTATAGGGACTTGAGCACCTGCCAACTTTTCTTAAGTCTGCCCTTGCGTCCTGTCCATTTTTAGATCTATCGTTTAAAGCTGCCCAAAATCCATCTTCACTTGGAATGGAAAATTGGGAAACCAAAACACTACACAGGCTTAATGTTCTTTCTGCATGTGAAAGCCTGGGAGAGCTGTGGCTGGGTTAGATGGGTCAGCGACCGCTGTGGGCAATATCCGCTGTGCGCTAATGACTCGCGCCTTGCTGGAAGTGTCCTTGGGATGGTGGGTGATAATGAAATGCACAGGGACTCCATGCAGCTTTAAAGGACTGGCATTATAGTCAAGGATGGTCAGTGACAAGGCTCGAAATGCTGAGAGCTCTATAATTCTAATGAGGGCGGTTGAAGGGCGCACATTTCTTTTTTGGACCTGTGTTTTTACATTTTAAAGTGAGAGCCCCAGAAACCCCTTTTTTGCTCCTCCGTTTGCTATTTCTCATTTAGTTTGTGTAATGAGGCAGGGTTTGATTTGCTTCCCTGCTCTCGGTGATCCTGGGGATATCTCCCATCTTGCACAGTGTTTGCCAACTTCCTGATCCCTCTGGGAGTTGACTCTTAATACACAAGGCACGTCAGACTCTTGGCCCCCTCCAGCCCAAATTGCGCCCCCAGCTGTCATGTTAATGTGACATTATCGGCTGTCTAATACCAGGGTCCCCTTTTAGCAGAAGCAAGTACTATAGGAGAAGTGCTAAAGTGCAGCGGCTCTGTGCATATTTCATGATCTGGAACACCGCTGAAGTGTTGCATTTCTCTCCTCTGTCGATTGACATTAAAGGAGAACTTGTAGCGGGAAGCACTTTAGCCCTGCCCATGCAGTGAGATGCCACTGGATGTTAGACTAGGGGTAGGCAACCTTGGCATGTTAGTTGTGCTGAAACAAGTCGCATGAGACAATGCATGACTCCCAGTAGTTTCAACACCGCTGGAGTGCTGAAGTTGCCTACTCTTGGGTTAGAGCCTTCCTTGCAGCACCAGAGAGTGTCAGACCAGATTGGTACCTGCAAGAGCATAAATGCAAAAAGGCACTTAGAGTGGTGATTCTGGCTTGCACATTTCTTCTTCATGATGGTAGCGGCCTGTGCTGAGAGGCTTTTGTTGCGTCAAGCAGTTGATGCATTCTTGTATATAGGACTATAGTCTATAGGACTCGCTTAAAGCACGGCAGAAGGATGGTAACTGCAGAACAAATGTTCCTGTCATTGAATTCTGGATGATCTCAGAAGCATCTCAAACTGATGTCATCGACACAGCCCGAAGACCATCGACTTGGAACCTAAGAGAGGAGGCATTTGCTGTGGTATTGCTGGTTATTCTGTCCATGTCTTTTTCACAATTTAGCACTAAAGAGTGGGGTGAAGATATAAAATATCCTGAAGGATCTCTTCTGCAAAACGGTGAACCAAGAATTATATAGTTGACCTTTTAGCATATGCTGCTGCATAATGGAATAGTGAACTGTAAAAAAATAATGTGATGTGTATATTGTGGCTCCCTCATGCTGCTGTCATCATAGTTCTGTAGTGTGTAGAAGCCATAATATAGTAAGCCATATGTGCTCCCATCATTTGTCTAGTTGGCTGAGCATGATGCTCAGGTGAACATGAGGCCATGTAGAGCTGCCCTCACTGCCAGAAATTCTTCTCATGGCAAGTGTGAGGCCATGTAGTGATACCACAATGCCATGTAGTGCTACCCTTACTGCCAGAAGTTCTTCTCATGGCAAGTGTGAGGCCATGTAGTGCTACCCTCACTGCCAGAAGATGTTATGGCAAGTGTGAGGCCATCAAGTGCTACCATGAGATCATGTAGAGCTACCCTCACTGCCAGAGGTTCTTATGGCAAGAAAAATTATTCTTGGTTTGTTAGTGATGCCTTCAAATTTTGAAGACGGGCCAGCCCCCATCACCATGGAAGCGCATGACCTTCTGCATTTAGAAAAGCTAAACACAATAGCGCAAGTGTGAATGTAGCCTAAAGCCAATGTTGAAATTCATTCACTTAGAGTGTGTGAGGCAGATGTGTAGGCAACTTTGAGGTTCAAGCACAGGCCAAAATGTTTCTGGAGGCAGAGTTGAATCTCCTTAAAGAAGCACTTTTGGCTTAGAAAGGGGAAGGGGGGATCCAAGGTTCAGTGTATAGCTGCTGTTTAACATACTATGTTGTGGTTCTTAGTTTTCTGTTCCTCAATCTGGGTCCTTGTTTTTTTTTCTCGTAGATGACCTCCTCAGTAACCTCGTACACACGCCTACCTTGGCTAAGCAACTGAGCCAACCCCCGCCGAGCCTGGAGGCAGACAGCGAGCGTATATGTGCCCTGGCCCTGGAGTGCCTCTCTCACCTCTTCAGCTGGATCCCCCTTTCCGCCAGCATCACCCCTTCACTCCTCACCACCATCTTTCACTTTGCCCGCCTGGGTTGCGATACCCGCTCCCGAAAGACTCCTTCCGTTTCCAGCAACTCTTCTGCCACTATGAATGGGGGGAGCAGCAGCCCTCCGATTCCCTTGACGCTGCCCAGCTCACAGACTGACCGTGACCGGCTGGGGGTGTTGGCGATGTCTTGTATTAATGAACTCATGTGCAAGAACTGTGTTCCCCTGGAGTTTCAGGAATACCTGTTACGGGTGTGCCAGCAGACCTTTTATCTCCTGCAGAGGATTACACGGGAGACAAACGCTCACAGTGTGCGCAACCGTCTGGAGGAGCTGGACGAAAGGTAAGCAGCAGGTTTGCAGATGTATACATGAGAGGACTACCAATCGGAACACAAAATGATGATGGGTTATACAGTTCACAGGGTTACCTGATGTATTGGAAAAGTAATGCTTCCCAATGCAGGCATGTGGTAGAAACTGAAGCCCTTCCTGCTTCTATGGTATTGCATAAAAAAAAAAACCATACTGTATGCACAATGCTTATACTTGAGCTTTCAGCACTGGAGATGGGTGCTGGATATTTTTGAGTGCAAAGTTTCCTGTGCAAAAAGGCATTGCCACATTCCCGTCACACCATCCACTATACCCTGAAGTATTTGTCGTCCCTCCCGGTGGTGACTAGATAGGTGAAGGACAGGTTCACTTTAATCCCCTGCGTGCATACTCTCCTTTCTCTATAGACCAACCCCCAACCAAAATCTGCATGGAAGCTCCTATCTTGTTCCCATGAAAACTTGCACCCAGAAACAAAACTTCCAGGGCAGTATAATCAAAGCGCCTTGGCTCCAGGTTTTGGAAATTGACCCCTTAGAATCCCTTTTGATTCAGAGAGCAACAAGCAAAGAGCCACAGTTCATCAGAAATCATCTTTCATTTTTTAACTGCTCAGGATTGATGAATATTGACCATGAATCGTCCCTATTCAGACGGCTCTTGCACAGCTTTAACGTGACACTAAACTCAGGCGTTAAAGGAGAACTATGGGGTCAGTGTTTTTCCCCATAGTTCTCCTTAGTGTAACGTGAGGACACAAACTAGCGTCCTCCCGTTACCCTAAGCTCAGTATACCGCGAGCTACAGCTCGTGGTATACTGAGACGCCGGAGCGGATCCCGACATGTATGTCAAGATCCGCCCAGCTGCGTGAGTGACAGCTGGCTCTGCCTATCTAGAGGCAGAGCCAGCTGTACCCGCCCCCTCCCCTGTCCGTTCTGCCAGTCAGCGCTGGCGGACGGAGTGGGGAGAGGGGAATCCAGCCCCTCCCCTGTCACGGCAGAGAGCCGTGACAGGATCGAGAGGTGAGCGAACTTGGTATGTGTTCGCTCATTTCCCGATCTACTGAGCCAACCTGTGACAGTCTCATTGTCACAGGTCGGCTAGAACTATGAGGTGAGTGGAAATCACTCATCTCATACTTCTCCTTTTTAAATCTTAAAAATATATTGAAGTACCTCAACTATTAACAAAAATGTGTCTTATTTGTATATCATTAGGCTGTAGATTGTCAAATCATCTCTGAATTGGTGCTGACACTGTCCTTCCTTCTGGAGGGGGGCTACTTTTGTTTCCCACGGTCCCTGTGTGTTTTGTAAAGCCGTCACCGCTCCAAGCTCACTCCTGTGAACTACAATCTCAATACAAATCCGTAAACTAAAGCGCGAGATTGTAGTCCATCATGGGAGTGAGCTTGGAGGGGTGACTACTTTACAAGACGCACAGGGACCATGGGGAACAAAAGTAGCCCCCCTCCAGAAGGAAGGACACTTTCAGGAACTACTCTGCCATTTACCACTTAGTTCTTTGCATTCTTAAAGGCATTTGTGACTCCTTCTTCCACTTCATCGCGTTTCAAGTGACCAAGGTGAGGGTGGGGATCAGACACAGACTGCTTCCCATGGACTCCCAATGATCTTAAAGTTGTGTTCCAGGAAAAACAACTAGAAAACCGTTTTATCTGCCAAAGATTTCTATTTCTGTCTATCCAGTCCTGAGATCTACATAGCCATGCAAGGCAGCACAACCAGCCTAGTTACTTCACTTTTCTCTGCTGCTATAAAGTGATGATATTGTTTAGTTGCTCTCTGCCCCCAGCATGTGGTTGCAAAAATTATAATAGTATTAGTATTTTTTTTCTTTCTACCTACATTTACTTCTAGCAAGCCGTAGATAAATGCAGAAACATTTAAAAAAAGAAAAAAGTTGGCAAATAGGTAATAACTTACCTGTGTCTGCGCCACTTGCGCCTGTCTGTAGAAGCCAGCTTCAAGAATGGCGGTGCAGGAGGAAGTGTGTGTGGGCGCATGCGCAGTTGATATCACTGGCTGGGAGAGGAGGAGAGACACAGTGTAAGTTAATGCGCGTAGCCGGGAGCGTACACACAGGACATACTCCGTGGGACACAGAAGACATGGGAGTCTGCACTGGATCAGAGAGCAGCACCAGCGCTGGAGAGACTGTTGGAAACGAGTGTAAGGAAGATGTTTGCATCAAGAGGCATTACATAAGGTAAGTTATTAAAGCACCATTGGGTGGGGGAAGCAGCCTTTAATGTCACTTTAAGGAGCAGCATCACAATGATGAGATGATCCCTCTGTTCTCTTCCTTTTGACCATGATCCTTGTCAGCACTTGTTCATGTAGCCTCCATCTTGTAACTGGGGTGCTGCTATGCAGGGAATTACAGCGTTTGAAATACTTTTGCACTTTTACACTTTTGCATTGTGATAATGAATGGTAAAATGTTTATTTGCCAGTCGCGGTACCATTCATTTTGAAGGCCACCTTCGAGTACTGTACAGCAGACAACAATGCACTGACATGTAGTACAATGCACATGCTGTGCGATGTGGTGGGCTACCTTGTTAGAAAAAGTCGTGTGCATTTTGGCCATTGTGGTATATTGGCTGCCCCCATAATGAGTGGGCTGCCTTAACCCAATGCACAATGGAACACTGAACTGGGAATTTTCGCCTTAACAATAATTTAATTTTGACATAAGTGTATTAATTCAGGGCTTGTTATTCGGCCTTCTGCTGACACATGGGGCTCCATCTATAATGCGTCGGGTGGATGGCGTTTGCATGGCACTAGCTCCCCTAGATGGTGCTGAGGAGTATAGGAATTTCCAATGCTCGTCCACAACATCTAGGAACACTAGTGCCATGCAAATGGCATCTGGATGGCTATACGCCGGTGGAAGTTTTATAAATGAAGCTCTTGCATTTCCTTTACTCGCCCATCACCCATTACCCCCTGCAGTAGCCCTAAAAAAAAAAGCCAGGGTAAACCCCATTTGCTACACCAGTGGAGAAAGGGGAGATGGTCACCTATTACATTTGTCCTGAGTGGCCCACTCAGGTTCATTGTTGGGCGGTTGCAGACATATTATTTTGGTCATCTGTTGTAGGAGATTAAACTGGTCTGCATATCGGCGGTCTTCCCAGCCCTAGAAAATGGCGCAAGAGCATGAATGGGTTATACTCAGGGAAATGAAGCAACGCTCCTATAAGAACCTACAGAAACAATTTCGGACATCAGTGTTTTTCAGTAGACAAGGCTGTGTGGGGTTTTTTTAAGGTTAACATTCGGACCTTACAGATATTTTGGACACTGGGGATCTGGTAGCCTCATATTGCAGTAGAGTTGTTTTTCTCTAGCCCCCAGACCTGCAGTAATTGCCTCCCTCAGGCTGCATTTCTGACACTTCTCACATCAAAGTGTTTGGAGCTTGTTGTTTCCCATTGACAGTGACAAAACGATTTATCTCAAAATACAGGACACCGCAAAGATGAATATAGAGAAAGTTCATAGAAGGGAGGGAGAAAGAGGCATCCGTATAGATGAGGGTTCTGGTCGGACCTAATTTTGTCATATTAAGAGGCAGGACGGACCCCTCTGAGATGTAAAAAGACCCCCTAGAATGGTAGTATGGGGCTGCGGCCATTGCTGACCCTCATTGCCTGGTTGTTGACCCAGCTGGAACAAGTATAGAGAGGAGTTCCAGCTTCAATCTGACTTTCTAATCTTCATGCTTGTTCTGAGTCATTGATTTGGTATACAGTACCGGAGACAAGCGGGCAGCTAATATTCTGAGCTCAGCAATGGTAGCCTCCATGTGTCTCTTGGTGTAGCCTCCATGTGTCTCTTGGTGTAGGTTTCCTATTAGACCTGTGCGCAGGAAGCTGCACCATCCTGACCAGCATTGTGTAGGTACTAAAGTGTCTTTATCACATTCAAAAACAAAGCTCGGGGCTCTGCTCCAGAGAAATGATCTCCTTGGCCACCCAATCACAGGTCCCTGCTCCCAGCTTGTCTCAGCCGCACATCAATATAACACAGTAAAGGAAAGAGTCTCGCTCCTATTCAATAATTAAAATATATTAAACCAGATCCTGGAGTATAAGTCGTCCACCTGGGCCCTGACGTGTTTCATACGGTATCAGTGCCAGCTCCCAGCTTGTCCTAGCTGCATATCAATACAGCACAGTAAAGAAAAAAGTTGCACTCCTATTCATTAACCATAAAGTATATTAAATCAGATCCTGGTACATAAGCAGGACCATCCGGGCTCTGATGCGTTTTGCATGGTATGGGCTGTTTCGTAGGATTCAGCTCCTACTGGGCGAAGCATGTTAGAGAGAGCCCAAGTGGACTGCTTATGTACCAGGATCTGAGTTAGGATACTTTGTTTATTGATCGTAAAGAAAAGAGCCACATTCCCCATCAATAAACAAAGTATCTTAACTCAGATCCTGGTACATAAGCAGTCCACCTGGGCTCTCTCTAACATGCTTGGCTCAGTAGGAGCTGAATCATACGATACAGCCCATACCATGCAAAACGCATCAGAGCCCACATGGTCCTGCTTATGTACCAGGATCTGATTTAATATACCTTGTTTATTGATGGGGAGTGTGTCTCTCCTTTATTTTGTTATATTGATATGTGGCGGAGACCAGCTGGGAGCTGGCACAGATACCAAGTGAACTGCATCGGGCCCAGGTGGACTGGTTGTGCACCAGGATCTCATTTCATCTACTTTGATTATTGAATAGGAGTGTGTCTCTTTTACTGTGTTTATATTGATCCTTTAGATTGTAAGCCCTCACGGGCAGGGCCCTCCTTACCATCATCCACCAGGTGGGAGCTGGCACTGATGCTGAACGAAACCCGTCAGGCCCAAGTGGACTACTTTTGCACCAGGATCTGGTTTGATATGCTTTGGATATTTGAATAGGAGTGAGACTCTTCACATTACAATGTGCCGCTGAGACCAGCTAGGAGCTGGCACCGATACCAAGTGAAATGTGTCAGTCCTGGAGTAGACTACTGATGCACCAGGGTTCAATATACTTTAATCTTTAAATAGGAATGTTTCTTTACTGTGTCTTTAAGATGTCCACTATTATTATGTAGTGGAACTTTGCAAACAAGGGAATCCACATTTTCATGCTCAGCACTTTATCAGGAAATATTGAATACAAGTCTATAATATTTTTCACTTGCAAATGGTTAGGCCGCCTGCCCATCATGCTCTGCTCATGGGAGTATCATTGAATCTCCCCGTTATTTATTTTCTCAGGATAAACTTTTATTGGAGATGAAAAGCATTGTTCAGTTTTTAGTTTTGTGGTTACAGAAAGAGAACAGCAGACATTAAATCTAACAAACCCAAACAAGTGGCTCACAGTATCTGGAGGATTGAAGCGCAGCCTTCAATTTACTGATTACAGAAAAGCTTCCAGGAACTTCAAGTACAAGCAGAGAACAGAATGTTATTATATTGTAACGTGACATGAGAAAAGTGTTACAGCTGTGAATACAAAACAACACGGCAATTTTCAGGTTTCAATATGGTTCTAGTCAAGACTCTGGCTGGGCCAATCCAAGCCACTCCTGTGTTGTCTTTGCTGTGGGCTTAGGATGGTTGTCATGTTGGAAGGGGAACCTTCTGCCCTGTCCGAGGTCCTGAGCGCTGTGGAACAGGTTTTCATTGAGGATATCTCTGTACTTTGCTCCATTCAGCTTTCCCTCAACCCTGACCAGTCTGCCAGTCCCTGCTGCTGAGGAACACCCCTACAGCATGATGCTGCACCACCATGCTTCACTGGTGGGATGGTATTGGGCAGGTGATGAGCGATGCCTGGTTTCGTCCAGACATAACGTTTAGAATTGAGGCCAAACAGTTCAATCTTGGTTTCATCAGACCAGAGAATCTTGTTCCTGAGAGTCCCTCAGGTGCTTTTTATTTTGCAAACTCCAAGCAGGCTGTGTTTTGCCCTGAGGAGAGGCTTCCGTCCGCCGTGGAGGGCTGCAGTGATGGTTGTCCTTCTGGAACTTTGCTCCATCTCCACACAGGATCTCTGGAGCTCAGTCAGAGTGACCGTCGGGTTCTTGGTCACCTCTCTTACTAAGGCCCTTCTCCCTCGATTGCTAAGTTTGGCCAAGCGACCAGCTCTTGGAAGAATCTTGGTTGTGCCAAACTTCTTCTGTTTGAGGGTTATGGAGGCCACTGTGCTCTTGGGAACCTTCAGTGCAGCAGAAATGTTTTTGTAGCCTTCCCCAGATCTGTGCCATGCAATAATCCTGTCTCTTGAGCTCTGCTGGCAATTCCTTTCAGCTCATGGCTGTTGCTCTGATACAATATACATTGTCAGCTGTGAGGCCTCCTATAGAGAGGTGTGCGCCTTTCCCAATCATGTCCACTCAATGTAATGTACCCCAGGTGGACTCCACTCAATGTAATGTACCCCAGGTGGACTCCACTCAATATAATGCACCCCAGGTGGACTCCAATCAAGGTGTAGAAACATCTCAACAACCATCAAGAGAAATGGGAGGCACCTGAGCTAAATTTCAAGTGTTGATGCAAGGGGTGTGATTACTTATGTCAATGTGATATTTCAGTTTTTCCTTTTTCATACATTTGCAAACATTTCTAAAATTCTGTTTTCACTTTATCATTATGGGGTACTGAGTGTAGGTTCATGAGACAAAAAATAATTTAAACAACTGTAGTATCGGGCTGCAACATAACATTGAAAACAGTGAAGGGGGTCTGAATACTTTCTGAATGCACTGTAAGGCCTCATTCACACAGGGTAGAGTGGGGCCGTACAGATCTGTCGGTCCCTTCCCGGGAAGGACAAGTGCTGCGTGTGATTTCACATTGCATGTCTCAGAATAAAGTTACAACTCGATCAGATTTGAGTATGAAGGTTTTTTTTTGCAACTTTTGAAAGAAGATCATTCAGTGTAGTTAAAGGAGAACTATGGGGTCGGGGCTTTTCCCCATAGTTCTCCTTAGGGTAACAGGAGGACACAAACTAGCGTCCTCCCGTTACCCTAAGCTCCGTATACCGCGAGCTACAGGTCGCGGTATACTGAGACGCCGGAGCGGGTACCCTCCCCCGTCTGTTCCACCAGTCAGCGCTGGCGGAGGGGGGGGGGGGGGGGTATGGGAGTCCAGCCCCTCCCCTGTCACGCCGGTATATGTTCGCTCACCTCCCGATCTACTGAGCCGACCTGTGACAGTCTCTCATTGTCACAGGTCGGCTAGAACTATGAGGTGAGTGAAAAGCACTCACCTCATAGTTCTCCTTTTTAAGGATTTGTTTTTCTGTGTATAATGGATGCAACTTGTTCTGACCCATTTTGTCTTGTCTATCTGATTTTACAGTTATGTTGAAAAGTTTACAGATTTCCTGCGGCTTTTTGTCAGCGTCCACCTACGAAGGATAGAATCTAATGCTCAGTTCCCGGTGGTGGAGTTCCTGTCATTGCTGTTCAAATACACCTTTCACCAGGTATTTCATCTAACCCATTCTTTAGGCCTTCTTGTAGTAAAAGGGAATGCACACTGTACTTTTAGAAAGGGAAAAAAAATCTCACCATGATATCATGGTCAGGACTAAAATAGATGTTTTCAGATTAATATGATATCAATATTTTGTACTTTAATATCCCGTCCAGCTCCATTTTCACACTTTTTTTCTTTCCAGACTCTCCTTCACTCCTCTGTTGCTTACAGAGCTCAATAGTTCAAGCTAGGATAGGATACAGCTCTCAAACGTTTTAGGGGTTTTATTTTTTTGCTTTAGTAAATGTGAATCTCAGGGTGGGAAGCTACTGTTGTGCCGTCTCTCTAAATAATCCATAGTGCTCTGGTCATCCCTCCTTCTTTTTTTTTTCTTCTTTTTTTTTTAATGTTTTCAATTACCGATTTTGTGAAAGTCTGTACATGACTGTCATGAAGTCTGAACATGAGACGTAATCTTTAGCTAGACCTTCATCATTTCTGCTTTGTCTCCACAGCCCACCCATGAAGGTTACCTCTCATGTCTCGATATCTGGGCTCTCTTTCTGGACTATCTGACCAACAAAATACGGAACAGGTTAGAAGACAGAGAGGCTATCATAAACAGGTGAGTGTATAATGGGAAGCCATGTCCTATGTGCAGCAACATGTAGCCAAACAAACCACATCAGATGGTAAGCCATGTCCTATGTGCATCAACATGTAGCCAAACCAACCACGTCATATTTTTCATTTACAGCCAATTAAACTTTTGGGGATTCCATCTTCCAGCCTACATGTGCCCAGCTTATCTGTACACCTCAAGAAGTGAATAAAAGGAATAATCCAAAATTGTCCCCAGGACGGTGGCTCAGAAGAGATTGTCATTGGTCAGCATGGTCACATGGCCGTACTGACCAATGACCACCAGTGGAAGCATTATATACAACCTCAGGGGCTATGTAGTCAGGTTTTCAAGGGCCAGGACCATTATCCTAGCTGGCGTGGGCAGTGGTCATGCTTGCAGCTAAGTGTAGAAGTGGTGGTGGTGTGAGTTCAACTTTTTCCATTTTTGTGAAAGGGTGATCTGGGAACATCAAATGTTTGCCCATGTAAAATGCTGGTGTGGGTGCACAACACACAACGCATTGTAGTGTTTGCTTTTTTTCTTTCTCCCCTTGCTACCCCTGGGAGCCAGCCCTTTAAGTGGGCTGTAACACCGAAAGCTGGAAGTAGGGGATTCTATTCGCTGTGATTGGCTGCACAGTGATGTAATCGGGAGTCTGTCCGACCAGCTCCTGTCAGTAGTGAGCTGTTGGTGAGTGCTGGACCACAGTTCAAGGGGTGCTGATTGAGCACGCCCCAAAACAACACAGCGACTTATATATGCAGCAGCTGGGCAATAAGGCCACCCTACAGTGCTGCTGCATATATTTAGGGTTAACATTATTGAAAGTTAACAATTCCAGGAGTCTTTTGCTCTGTGCGAATAGGTGGAAAAATGAACGTTCTTAGTGTATTTTCTTTTCAGTTTCAATGTAAAGCAAAACCACATGGAGGCCACTAGATTGAGCTGAGGATAACTATGCATTTCCTGTGTTCCTCGGCTCAATCTATTGGTCAGGGTGAACGGCTTTGCAAATTGTTACTTTTATTACAGGTATTTATATAGCGCCAACAGTTTACGCAGAGCTTTACCTAGTAGCACATTCACATCAGTCCCTGCCCCCAAGGAGCTTACAAGCTTAGGTCCCTATCTCGCATGCATACCTATGAGGGCCAATTAGACAAGAGCCCATTAACCTACCAGCATGTCTTTGGAGTACCCGGAGGAAACCCAGAGAAGGAGAACATGCAGATAGTGTCCTGACCAGTATTCGAACCATGGACCCTGGTGCTACAAGGCAGAAGCGCTAACCATATAAGTAGACCCCTTTTTGTGTTCTGTGGATCGCCTTCGGGGGTTCATGGTTTGGGTTAGTTTGCCTGTTGTCACAGTTTGAATCTTCAGCTTTTCGCTAAGTGATTTTACCATTGCAGGTACGAAGACGCTCTGGTGTTGCTACTCACGGAAGTCCTGAACCGGATCCAGTTCCGCTACAACCAGACACAGCTGGAGGAGCTAGATGACGAGACCCTGGATGATGATGTAAGAACGTGCTCTGGGATTGGACAGACAGTGATGGGTCAGGCTGGCCCCTCGCCATACAATCTCCTTCAGCTTTTCCATCAACTATGTAGTATGAAGACCGACCTGATTGCATATCAATTGAATGGATCGTATGGTCAGGCCCTCACACTATATAGGGGGCGTTGGATCTAAAGGAGATATTATTGTACATGTAAAACATATGTAGGCTGATTAACACTCACCACATGTTACAATCTCTTTAGACTACCAAAAATGTAGTGCCAAGACCTGCCTGGTTGGATGGAGGTTGAATGTGTTACTTAGGTGGGTCCACATAATGCATTGTTTTGGTGAGGCTGAAGGAGATTGTACAGTCATGTTGTGCTGACCATTAGATTTACTAAAGCTAGGTAATTGAGCTCTTGAGACAAGGAGGCTCCTGATGTGAACCCCACTTTTTCTTTTTCCTGTGTTTTGCATGGGGTCCTCCTTTTAAAAACCTTATCTGACCCCCATCTCTGATAGGGGTCTGGTATGGATTTTGGAGGAGCCACGGGCATTTTTCAAAAAATTTTTACACATGGGTGCCTTGAGATTTGACATATCTTTTTAAAGGGTGCTGTGACTAAAAAAGGTTGAGAATCGCTGTAATGGGGACCTACCTACACTATATAATCAATTTGTATACAATCGGTCAGGCTTGCGCTATGCAGGTGCTGGTAGTTCTCATGTTGGATGACATTTGATTGGTAGGAAATAGATCTGTATGACCGCTCCATGTACTGACTGTCTCTTTTGTGTTTACAGCAGCAGACAGAGTGGCAGCGGTATCTGCGGCACAGCCTGGAAGTTGTAGCCAAAATCATGGAGCTGCTCCCTACACACGCCTTCACCACACTGGTAAGGGAGTGGGCAATGCGTTCTATAAATGTGGCTTCACGTACACATTCACAGTGATCTGTGAGCTAAAGCTTTGAATGTCCTGGATTAAGGTACCCATTAGACCAGGGGTGGGCAACTCCGGCCTTCCAGCTGTTTTGGAACTACATGTCCCATGAGGCATTGCGAGACTGACAGTTACAGGCAGTCTTGCTCGGAGTTGTACTTAAAGCACAGCTGGAGGGCCAGAGCTGCCAACCTACACTAGCTGATGTGTGTCAGACATTGCAGCAAACACTGGGATTTATATCATTGTTTCAATTCTAAGTCCAGGAAGATGGTGGTGGTGCAGGATGATGCCTGGACTATGGTGCCATCCTTCTGGAGGTAAAAGCAGATCAAAGGCATTTTTTAGAGGGAGTATTGTGATTTCTGTGTAAGGGGTTTATAAATATCTGGAAGTCTTAAGTTGGCCATACACCTATAGATTATCTGCAGATGTTCTATGATCAGATGGAAAAAAGTGCAACAGATTCCTCCATCTACGCTAAACTGTGTGGATGGAGGAATCTCCCACTGGGCCAAGCTTCAGTATCTTACTAGTCCGCTGTGCTGGTTTTCAAAATACCTGAACAATCTGATTGGATGCAGGCATTGTTCAGGTGTTTTGAGAGCCAGCGGGGCCGACTAGTAAGATACTGAAGCTTGGCCCAGTGGGAGATAGAAGCTTCAACGAGTCAGAGCCCACCTCATTTCCTGGCTGAAAGTCTGACTGTTCCTACCCCACCCCTTCCATTCATTGGAATTCAGCCCTTTAATCACAGAGGCTCCAGGTCACATGTGGGTGTTACATAGGTTGGTCTGCATGCAAATGCAGTCTACCCAGGAACACCTACTTCTCCAGACTGACACACACTCATGAAGGCCATCTCACTGCTTGCACCAGGGCTGAGGGCTCTTGAGTACTGAGGCAGGGTGCTGTGATGTATAACAAGCTATGTGCAGCACCCTGCCAGTCCCTCCCACCCACCATGATCTTCCTGCATTTTATAAGTAAGCACAGGGACCTGGTGGTGACATCGCTGGGTCTAGAATAAGGTATGGAAGAAACACATATTTTACACATTTCATTGGCATGTTGATGTGGGGGAAGGAGGAGGAACAACCTGAAGGCAAAATATAAGCAGCTTTAACAAGACTTCTTATTGCTGGATTTTGATTCATTTACATCTGTTCTCACACTTGCTGAATGGTAATTCTTCCTCCTCCCATCATATAATGTATTACATGTAATCCTTTTTTGTGTTTTGTCTTAGTTTGCTGCTCTGCAGGAGAACCTCAATGTTTATCTTGGTCTTCAGCAATGTATAGTATCCTCTGGACAAGGTAAGTTCTAATGGAACATACTTCATTGTAGCTGCTGGTATCATCAACACCTACCACTGATATGGAAAGATATGTGAAGGCAAAGCTTCTCTTGGCTCTACTTCCCTTGGCTCTACTTCCCTTGGCTCTACCTCCCTTGGCTCTACTTCTCTTATGGGTCATGGGAGTACATTGACTAAGGTACCACTGTGACCCAGTCTGTAGTCCAGGGGGGGAGAGAGGCGGCTCTTTAGTCCGGGGGGAGGTAGCTCTTATACAATTTACTTTGAAGTTACTTTGACTTGCTTGATAAGAACAGTGATCTTTCAGGGTCCACCAACTGATGTCTGTTCTCTCCCCCCCACAGAACAGCGTCTTAACGTGACTGCAGAAAACGACTGCCGGAGGTTACACTGCTCACTGCGGGACCTCAGCTCGCTCCTGCAGGCGGTGGGGAGACTTGCGGAGTATTTTATCGGGGACATGTTCGAGGCGCGCTTTAATGATGCCCTCACTGTAGTGGAAAGGTAATGTGCAATCCCCATGGTTTCTGTGTGTGATCTGTAACTTTTTAGCCAATCAGAGCTAACGCTGACATTTTGCCTCTGCAATCCGTTCCTCTAGGTTGGTGAAGGTTACTTTATATGGTTCCCAGATTAAACTGTACAACATGGAGACCGCAGTGCCATCCGTTCTAAAGCCAGACCTTGTCGACGTGTACGTATCAGGCTGCTCTGTCTAAATTTATTCTTGTATGGTTTGTCAGTCTTTTCAGGCCAAAAAAACCCCACAATGGGCGATGTCTGAGAGCTTATATTACCTCTGTCCATGATATTGAGTCTGTAGCACCCACAAGATACTTGAAGCCAAATCCAGTTTTTTTAAATTTTTCTAACATGTACATTTAATAGATCACAACACGCTGGATGGGGTGGCTGCGTTTTGAATTCCTTCTCTTCCCCTTTATTTTCACCTAGTGATCCTGCCTGTTAGAGATGCACCGATACTAGTACAAGTACTTGCCCAAATGCTCCTGATGCCTATTCCGATACCAGAACTATCAGTAGCAGGAAGCCAGGCGGCGAGTCATTGCACGCTGCCCGGCTTCCTGGCTGGCTTGGAAGCCAGCTCTATGCTCCCTGGTGAGGAATGACTCGCGGGCAATGACTCTCTTCCTGATTAGCCAGGAAGCCGGCTCCATGCTCCCTCGTCATGACGAGGGAGCATGGAGCCGGCTTCCCGGCCAATCAGGAAGCTGGGCACCGTATTATGACTTGCCACCCTACTTCCTGATTGGTCGGAAAGCTGGCCAATCGGGAAGACAGGCGGCGAGTCATTACCCATGCCCCGGCTTTCTGAATGGCCAGAAAGCCGGCTCCGTGCTTACACAGCACCTGTTGACGAGGGAGCATGGAGACGGCTTCCCTGCCAATCGGGAGTCATTACATGCTGCCCGGCTTCCTTACTGACACTTCTGGTATCGGCGAATACGGAAACATTTTTTTATCGGTGCTCTATACCAAAAAACAGTATCTGTGCATCTCTGGTGTCTGTAGCACACTTCCTGCCTTAGTGTGACCACACTCCCTTTCCATGATATATCTATGGAATAGAGTAGCACTTTCACCCTAGCCTGCTCTCCTGGTTTGTACTACAAACCTCTCCTCTCCCTCCAACCCCCTATGTAATAGAGATTCATTGTTTTGCAGTTCACAGAAGATGGCTGGAAGAGCTGATAACATTGTTTGAAATGTAATTTCAGTACATGGGAAGTTACGGAGATACTGGATATCTACCAGATTAAAAAGTAAACTAATGCAGCCACCACATCCTAAGGACAGGGTCACTTTAGGCTGGAGCTCTTGCTCGGCATCTCTAGAAAAAATGATGCAAGGATGCTTTTCCTGGTCTTCTATTTGGTTAATAGGTGTTTTCACTGAGGTTGTGTTGCAGCTGGTCACGGTCACCTACACAAATCCTAGCACAGCCTTCATTGATGAAAACACTCCTGGTCTTGCATCTTTTAAAAATGGAAACTCCATTTTTATTTATTTTTTAGTCCGGTCCAGGTTCCTGTTGACCATTTGTGCTCCTCTAATTTATAGCTATTTACAGTGGAGTTTATAGTATATGGATTATGCCATCTCCAACCTACAGATCATTCCATATTGGTTAAAATACCTCTTCTCTCTCTTTTCCTGGCAGACATGCCCAGTCGTTAGCTGCATTACAAGCTTATTCGCACTGGCTTGCGCGTTTCTACAGCGAGGTCCAGCGTCAGAACCCGGAACGATTCATCTCCATCATCTCCACAGCAATGGAAGCCCTGCCCCCTCTAATCAGCACAAAGGTGAGCGGTCTTGCACCTGATTTGCAAATTGTTTCTAATCCGTGACTGAATGAAGTCTGAGGACCAGCTTGGCAGCCAGGCAACTGTCATTTTTCAGTAGAGAGGTCAGCAGAGGCAGTCTTTTCAGTACAGGTTTTAATGAAAGAGGCTGGAAGGTAAACTGTGTACTTTACTCTTCTGAGAATGGTTTTGTTTTGTTTATTATTGGTATTTATTACGGATGCACCAATACAGGTTTTTCGGTATCAAGTACGACTACCAATATTTTATATTCGGTACTAGTCGATACTGGTGCTTCCGCTAGCATGGAGCCGGCTTCCTGATTGGCCGGGAAGCTGGCTCCATGCTGTTTGGTTGGATTGATGCTGATTGGCTGGGAAGCCGGCTTCCCAGCCAAACAGCATGGAGCCGGCTTCCCAGCCAATCGGGAGGCAGGTCATTATCTGTCGCCCGGCTTCCTGATTGGCTGGGAAGCTGGCTCCATGTTCCCTTGCAGCACGGAAGTTCCGGTATTAGGGGGCATTTGGCCGAGTACTCGCCCAAATACTCGGTATCGGCACCGATACTAGTATTGGTGCATCCCTAGTATATATATATGGCGCCAAGAATTTACGCAGCGCTCTACATACAGAACATTCACATCGGTGCCCTCAAGAAGCTTGCAGTCTAAGGTCCATATCTCACATGTATGTATGCAGGAGCCAATTAACCTTCCAACATGTCTTTGGAGGTTTGGGAGGAAATCTGAGGACACCCATGCAAAAACAGGGAAAGCATGTAAACTCCATGCAGATAGTGTCCTGACAAGGATACGAACCAGGGACACCAGTTTTGTTGCAGAAATGTGTACTCTAGCACAGTGTGACTGTTTGATGCTGTTTTGTCTCTTAGTATGACAGAGCTAGAAGGTTAACGTGTGGATGAGTACACTGTGACTGGCACAGCTGTCACTCAGCAGCTTAGGACATTTGTATTTAAACTGTTAAAGCTTACTGAAAAGGGCGGAACCTCATGGGTGAGGAATGGTGGTTTGTTAATGCAGAAAGCAGATATATTCATATATAGAATAATAAATTAGCATTGCATACAGGGCAAACCCATGGCGCTGGTTCATTTAAGTTGTGTGTACTATCTGAGCTTCTGTTATTAAGAACAGCAACAGTTAAGATTATCCTTGTAGACATGGGGAAAGATGCCTAGAGTTCTACTCTGTTGCTGAAAACTGTAAATAGGCAAATTATGATTATTGCATATAAATGTTATAAGTAAAGAAGAACATTTGCAATCTGCAAACTGTATAGTCTAAAAGCTTCCTTTCCTGATAATTTCCCTCATTATTAATGCTGATTAGTCTGCTGTGGATGGCTCGGCTATATTCCTCTAGTGATGTTCTGCTAATGCTAGACTGAACTGTCTCTCTTCTCTCAGGTACAAGAGAAGTTGCTGCTGTCTGCGTGTCATCTTCTGGTCTCTGTGGCCACCACCGTGCGGCCTGTGTTCCTCATCAACATTCCCGCCGTCCAGAAAGTGTTCAGCCGTGTGACAGACAACGCTGCCCAGAGACTACCGGAGGAGGTGCGCTGTCCTTTGTGTAGAATCTCAGCACTGTAACAGTCCTTTCCTTCCATCGTATGGGGAATTATGTGTACACGTTTAGCACAAGAGGTCCCACAGTAAAAGGCACTCTGTTTGATGATCAGTCTTTCAGCTCCATCTATGACACTCTTGCTGCATCTGCCATATTTATCACTACAGAGTAGAATTGTTCCAGGAAGCTTGGCTTGCGCAAAGCAACCATTTGGATGCCTTCTCCCCTTACACCATAGCACTATGGGAAAGTTATTAGGAGAATTGAGTATGCAATGGGGGACACATGTAGGCAGAGACATTCAGACATATTAAGGCCCAACTCCAGACAATACTTTATTTTTTAGGTTAGCATGGGGAATGGCTGTCTGTCTCCGTTGAGATTTTTCACTTCCTGTGCCAGTGATGAGGTGTTTCTGGGACAGGAAGTGATGGCACATATGGACAGCAGAAGGCTTTTTTTCCTTCTTTAGCTGCATGTTAAGGAACTGACCTTGTTGCTATAATTAGTGTCCCAATATTGTATAAAGTAGGGATGCACCAATACTAGTATCTGTGCCGATACCAAGTATTCGAGTACTCACCCAAATGCTCCGATGCCTAGCCTGATACCTGAAATTCTGGTATCGGTAAGCCTGTCAGCCTGGCATTACACGCTGCCCAGCTTCCTGATTGGCCGGGAAGCCTGCTCCTTGCTCCCTCGTCACAAGTGGAGCCGGCTTCCTGATTGGTTGGGAAGCTGGCCAGTCACCTCGTGACAAGGGAGCATGTAGCCGGCTTCCCAGCCGATCAAGAAGCCGGGCGCCTCGTCATTTCACGGCACCCGGCTTCCTGATTGGCCAGAAAGCCGGCTCTATGCTTTTGCGTCACCTATTGACGAGAAGCATGGAGCCAGCTTCCCTGCTAATCGGGAAGCCGGGTGGCGAGTCATTTCACGCCGCCTGGCTTCCTTAATGGGATTTCTGGTATCGGTCTTTGTAAAAAATATCGGTACTTGTACTCGATACCGAAAAAAACAGCATCTGTGCATCCCTCGTAATAACACACTGCCAAAATTTCCAAACCTTCCCCACTTTATAAAAAAAATAAAACCCCCAAAACTTTGGACTGAGTTGGGCATAAGTGACCCAAATTGAATAACGGAATTTCTTTTACCTGTTTCCCATTCTTAGGCCCAGGTGCTGCTCTGTCGTGCTCTGTCTAATGTCCTCCTTCTCCCGTGGCCAAACGTCACCGAGGCTGAACAACAGTGGGGAGAGCGCTCCAGTCACCACACCACCCTACTGAGCTCTCTGAGCAGAGACTACCGCGAGCTGAAGGGTGCAGCCCCCCCTCAGAGGAAGGGCCAGATGGAAGCCAGTGAGTAGCCAGATTCATACTGCAGAATGTGCTTTGTGCTCTCTACTAGGGTACATTAGGCTTTATTTAGGAAAGAACTGACCTTGTAGCTATCACCATTGTCTCCCAGTATAGTGCAGGACAATAAAAGACAAGGAAGGTTGCTTGGCATGTACAGCAAGACCAGTTCAAGTACAAGTAACTTCCTTCTATGTAACAATGGCTGAGGTCCTTTCTTTTTTTGGAGGGGGATTGTTTCTCCTGGGATCTCCCTACTTTGTACTCCAGTGAAGTTTCTCTTATAAAGCTTCACTGCTAGGCCTGTAATGATGAGATTCAGCAGGCCGAAACAATGCTGTTTCGGGATAGATGTTCTGATTCAGCATAGCCGCTGTTATACTGTCCTTTTGAAAATACTGGTTTCCTAGCTGTTAGGTTCATCCAAAGGCTTCAGCACTTTCTGAATCATCCATCCAAAGCAAGCATGCTAATTATGGGTTATAACTTCTCTAGCCGCATGCTTTTCTCGTCTCCTGGCTGTCTTCAGGCTCAGTATTTAAAAGAAAACCATGAGGTAAGTGTTTTTCCCCATAGTTCTCTTAAGGGTCACGGGAGGACATATACTAGCGTCCTCCCCTGACCCAAAGCTCAGTATATCGCGAGCTACAGCTGGGGGGAGGGGGGCAATCCTTGCAGGGAGTCGTGAGTGACAGAAACCGCTCTATGCAGGGAGATGATTGAGAAGTGAGCGAGCGACGGTATGCGTTCGCTCACTTCCCCATCTGTTGAGCCGATGTGTGACAGTTTCATTGTCACACGTCAGCTCGAACTATGAGGCTGACTGATTTTTCACTCACCTCATAGTTCTCCTTTAAAGCTTTTTCAGACAGACATCCGCAATGGCAGACTTCATATTTTTTTCTCAGTATAGGTTCCCTGTAAATAAGCCAGCAGGGCGTTCACTCGCTGGCCCACCATGTAAAAGTGGCAGCGCCCAGAAGCCCTTTCTACCGGTCTCTCTGCCTGTATGCCATTGACGTCATTTAATTGTCACGTGTGCACTAATCACAGGCACACACTATTCTCATAAAGGTTAGTTCCCCTTTTCAGAAATATTTGATATTGAACAAACTGAAGAGAGAAGCTGATTGGTTGCCATGCACATTCTATCTGCTCCCGTTTGGATAAATTCCCCTCCGTGTATACGTCACGCAGGAAACAAGAAGTGTATTTAATGGCATTAGTTAATTATTTCACATTCCTGTCGATTTTGCCCGAAAAGTTAGATTTGAAGTTTAAAGCTTCACTTCATCTGCAACATTTGTTTTTGTTTTGATGTGGAGGAAGGTTAGTGGCCTTCACATTGGATAGAATTCCCCTTCCTTTCAACTAAAATGGGGGAAGTGTGTGAACCTCTCAGATCCATATTATTGTCTGTGTTTTCCTGACCCATTGACAACTGCTCCCTAATTTCTTGCCCTGGTGTCACAGGGACAGGAAGTGAGATGAGTTTCTCTCCAGTGGTAATCGCAGACAGCAATAGGTGATAGAATTATTTACTCCCATGTTTACCAAAAAAATAGCTAGATGCCTCAGGTAAGTGTTTACTGCCCTGATCTTACACATGCATGTTGTCCTGTTTTTTTCTCCTAGCTAAGCGTGTCATCTGTCAGACTTTGGGTGTGCTGAGGGATATTGTGGAGAATATCTCCAGTGAGGGCACCAAGTCCCGGCAAATCTGTTACCAGTCCATGCAGGAGGCGGCCCAGCTCTCGCTCACCCTCTTCCCAGCGTACATCCACCAGTCTGGTATGTAGCAATCTCTACTTCCATATACTGTCTGTGCTCTTCCATCTGCACCCATGTGTCACTGGATTTGGGTACCATAGCTTGTGATGTCACCTGCTGGTGGAATCTGGTACTGCAGCCTGCTGCATACAATGCATGTGTTGTCAGACAGAAGAGTTACCCACACTAATCATTACTGTAGAACACTCAACATTAAAGAATGATTGGTTGTCGCACTACATTGCATCTTTTATTGTCATACCATTAAAGTTCTCTGTGTAAAGAGGTACAATTTGGTGTAAAGTCACAGTTAACATGTCTCTGTCTCCCTCTCTATAGATGTGACGGAGGAAATGCTGAGCTTCTTCTTGGCCTTGTTCCAAGGACTTCGAGTACAAATGGGAGTGCCATTCACTGAGCAAATTATACAAACCTTCCTCAACATGTTCACCAGGTAATCACACCGCTCTGTCTTTATCCAGCACAATCCAGACGAGCCCTGCTTTAAAGGAGAATCGCATTTACCCAAGAGCTCTTTTTACACGGCTGTCCTGTAAGGTTTAAGGAAGTCCCTTCTTGTTTCACATTCTGTACAAAATTACAAATATACTCATGATCAGGTCCCGTGGGCCTTGTCGGGGTCTATGGATTGGGGCTTGGGGTCGGCAAAGGCCATGTGACTCTTTTGGAGTAGCCAGAAACATGTCGGATACCTGGGTATTACTTTACATTGGAATGTTTGATGCAATGTTCATGGAATGGTCTGGTAATATGTAGGGAGAGAAATGTGAAGGCTACCATTTAAAGAGAAACTTAGTGGCTCCCCAAGGAGAAGCCCCCCTCTCAACTTGGTAATGCTGACCTTTTCACCTCCACTCCTTTTGTCGCTGCCATAACCAAATTACCCAGTGACAACTGATGTTGGAGCCTAGAGGAAGAGTTGATTTCATCCCCACTGACGTGGCATTGCTCGGGTCTAGGAATTGGCCGCTAGATCTGAGCACTGTCACGTAGAAGGAGGTCACATGTTTCCCCCCTACCCAGAAGCTCTGGATGTTTTGCACCAACTAAGGTAGAGGAAGACATGGTGATGGAACGATCGAGAGTTGGGCATCAATAGTTAAGGGGCCTTTGCACAGACGCGGTCACTTGTCCTGAATGATTAGTGACATTGTCTCTTTAAAATGTTATTTGCCTGGTTATAATACAGAGTTATTGGACTTTAAGTCACAAATCAGAAAGATCTAAGAGTAAGAACTCCTCATCTACATATTTGTTCTGCATTAGGAACTGAAGTCTTTTGTTTGTGTACGGAGAGGTTCCCCCCCCCCCATACATTTTCCAGGATCTGCTTCCTTTCCGCCCTCTGATGGCCTTGTACTCCAGTGAACAGCAGCTGTGATGTGTGGAGTTGGTTCTTCACGTCACCGATTTTAACTCTGTATACAATTTGGGATTTGTTGGACTGCATTAATGACTGTCGCCCATTATCTCTCCTCCTGGCAGGCAGCAGTTGGCAGAAAGTATCCTGCAGGAGGGCAGCGCAGGGTGCCATGTGGTGGAGAAGTTTCTAAAGATCCTTCAGGTTGTAGTGCAGGAACCCGGCCAGGCGTTCAAGCCTTTCCTGCCCAATATACTGTCCCTGTGCATGGAGCAGCTGTACCCCATTATCGCTGAGGTATGTGTGTCTCATGTATCGTTTTTCTTTCCACATCTCTCATTTTGTCAGAATTTCTCCATTGTTCTGCTTCTATGGTTACCTCGGTTCAGTTGCTGACCAAACCCTGATGAGCTTTTATGTGGTTTAGCTGAGAGTTCTCAAAAGTGTGCAGACTAATGATGTACAAAACATCGCTTTGTTCAGGTGATCTCATGGGAGGATCAGGGTTTGGGCTAATTAGCTGGCTCCTCCTGAACATCAGTCCTTTAAGTTTTATTTGTTTTGATCACATGACCAGTGTCTTGGAGTGTGGACACGTTGAAAAATAGATTACTGTGGCAGGGGAATCATAAACTAGCCATTCCCAAGTGGAGGATTCAAGGGCAAGGAAAAGGGCACAGAAAAGGTATTTGTGCTAAGTGCCCACCACTTCCCCTCATATAATAATTAGGCTAGAGCCCGCCAGTTGACAAAAACATTGATCTTTTCCTTCAGCTTTCTGCATTTGGTCACATAACCAACACGGGGATCCTGGCTTCTTCAATTCACCTCCCTGGCGGTATTCCCGAGTGTAGCTCGGGGTTACTTTTCCTTACCATAAGCGGTAACCCCGAGCTACACTCGGGAATGCCGCATAGCATTTACTTACCTCGTCCCTCGAGCCGCGCTGTGTTCTCTGGCCGATGCCGGCATCCGTCTTCCGTGTTCCGCCCCCTGCAAGTGTACGCGTCGCAGGGGGGCAGAACCGGCGGGATATTGGAAAAAAAATACAACGAAAAATGACACGAAAAAAATCATACTACCATGGAGGTTAAGGGAAGTCCTTTAAAGGAGAACTATGGGGTGAGGGGTTTTCCCCATAGTTCTCCTTAGGGTAACGGGAGGACACAAACTAGCATCCTCCCGTCACCCTAACCTCGCGGTATACTGAGACGCCGGAGCGGATCCCGACATCGATGTCGAGATCCGCCCAGCTGCGTGAGTGACAGCTGGCTCTGCCTATCTAGAGGCAGAGCCAGCTGTACCCGCCCCCTCCCCCGTCCGTTCCGCCAGTCAGCGCTGGCGTAGCGGGGAATCCATCCCCTCCCCTGTCACGTGAAAAGCACTCGCCTCATAGTTCTCCTTTTAAGCTTTTCTTTTACGATCTGTGGGCATTTTGGGTCAGGATGGGCAGAGGGTATTACACTATAGATCTGCTTAATGAAAGTTGTATTAAGTATGAAGAGAGGGAATCTTAAGTTTTTTTTTTTTTTTAGCCAGGTCACACTCGCAAGTCCTCTAGTTTGTGGTGGCATGAACCTAAACCAGGTGGCCATATTTGGTGCATCACATAGAAATATATCTGCTTCTCAGGCCGCAAAACAAAACACAGGAACATTATGTGGCATTGCTGTGTATTTGTCTCACGTAAGACACATTTTCCGGTTCCTCCCTCAGCGCCCCTCCCCAGATGTGAAGGCCGAACTGTTCGAACTATTATTTCAGCTTTTACACCACAACTGGAGGTATTTCTATCGCTCCTCCGTCCTGGCCAGCGTGCATCGGGATGGCGCTGATGAGCCAATGGAGAATCAGGCTCAGTTTATTGCAGTGATGCAGGTGAGTGCAGTGCTAGAATCATTCATTACATAAGATGGTGAGCTGCTTCAGACAAGAACTAGTGGCAATGACTGTTGTCTGCAAACCAGAAAATATTGGCACAATAAAAGTGATGGATCCTCTTTGTCCAGGGCTAGCCTCATGGCAGGACATGGCACTGTGAGCATAAGGTTATTTCTTTGTTTCCTGGGGGCACAGCAGACCTTTGAGGGTCTGAGACCTCCCCTCCTCCCCTTAGGGCTGTGCTTCTGACCTTTGTTCTAGGAGGTCACATATTTGAAGACCGGTTTCTCTTCTGACCTATCCAGTCCAGAAAGACTTAAAAATAAAGATATTTGCTTTTGGTTTTTCCAGTTGGATCAGAACCTAGCTCGGGGGTGGGCAACTCCAGGTTTTCTGGAACTACAAGTCTCACGAGGCATTGCAAGACTGACAGTTACAGGCATGACTCACAGATGCATGTTGGGATTTGTAGTTAAAGCACAGCTGGAGGGCCAGAGTTGCCCAGCCCTGACCTAGCTGCTCCTTCTGCACTATCCTTAACGGGAACTTGTTTAGCCCTGCATGGATAAAGCACAGGTTCTCTTTAACTTAACCCTCCCCAGCAACAACTACATGCCTTCTTTTGCTCTCCTGCTGCCCCATTCAGCCACTGGGAGCAAAGGAAAGTTCAGTGTAAGCTACTAATTGCTGGAGTCATAGCCGATTGGCTCAGCGCTGTCACATGCTCCGGACGTACCTGATATTTTCTTTTGGCCCCCAGTGCTTGAACGGAGCTGTGGGGATGAAAGAACTCTCTGGGCTTGCACTGTAAAATCAGTAGCTGTGGCCCCCACCGGCTTGTCTTCCTTGCAATAGTATATACCTGGCCTGCTGATAGTTGTTGTTCTAGATAAATGGACGGCAGTGTTAAGGCAGCAAATCTACAACATGAGATGACCTGTGATTAAAGTATAATTGTTCTTCTTTATTTAGGCCTTCGGACAGTCTTTCCTGCAGCCTGATATACATCTTTTCAAACAAAATCTCAACTATCTGGAGACCCTAAACAGCAAACACAAACTGTACCACAAGGTGAGCAGGGCAGCATTGTTGCCACACCATCACAGGGAACTGCATTAGATGAACTTCACTAGCAGGATCAACAGGTGTTTGTGGGACTTTGCAGGGGGACTAAGAGAAAATAAGGTGTCGCAGCACATATTTCACAGAAGGCCGTAGTTGTACTTTAAGTCAAATTGTAAGGGTGTGTTTTTAGATGGCTGACTTTATTAAAGTTTCCCTTTTTAAAGGAAAATAATCCCCTCAAGCTTGACACTAATGCATTCGATATCCATTCTAATTTTCACCAGAACTGCCTAGCCACTCCATGCAGCCCCTACTGATGAAGCAGCCGTAGCCCTTTGTCATCTTACACTGTCTATTGTCTTTGCAGAAGCTGTTCCGGGCCATGATGCTGCCACAGTTTGTCAGTGTTCTGCTCCAGGTTCTCATCCACAAGTCTCATGACCTCCTGCAGGAGGAGATTGGCATAGCTGTCTATAACATGGCATCTGTGGACTTCAGCACTTTCTTCTCCGCCTTCTTACCGGAGTTTTTAGCTGGCTGCCAGGGCCTGGACAGCAACCAGAAGAATGTCCTATCCCGAAACTTCAAGATGGAAAGGGTAAGATCCCACGTGACCATTGTGCACACTGTTTAATCGGCTTTCAGATTGGAGCATGCGTGATGACGGGTAAAAACAGTAAACTCCCGGCAAGGGAAGGAGGTGTGTGTGTGTGTGTGTGTGTGTGTGTGTGTGTGTGTGTGTGTGTGTCAGTATAGTAGTATAGTCCCAGCAAGGGAAGGAGCCGTGTGTGTGTGTGTCAGTATAGTAGTATAGTCCCAGCAAGGGAAGGAGCGCTGTGTGTGTGGAGCAGTATAGTTCTGGTTTAGTTAGAAATAAGAGGTTTGGCCGAGAAGGCTGTACTACACGTGTGCCACCCGTGGCATTTCCCTACACGCATACTACACCAATAAATATGGCCGCTGCTTGCGGCCATATTGAGTGGGGCAACTCTGATTTAATAAAGTGCTGGATAAAATCACAGCAAGGGAAGGAGCGGTGTGTGTGGTCACATATGACATGTGATGGGCCAATAAGAGCGTGTGTGTGTTGGGGGTTTAGCAGCAAGCTTTGTGTCGGATCTTTTGCCTGTCGGAACAACCCATGAGAAGTAGATTCATGAGGCTGCTGAAGGCATGTGTAGGTACCTGCCCGTCATACCTGCAGCAGCTTTCCCCAGTTCCTTCCAGCGACAGGGTCCCTTTAAGGCAACCAGGATGTAACCCTTGACTTGAACGTCTTTTTATCTCCCCACACAGGACCTGCCATCGTTTACTCAGAGCGTCCATCGCCTGGTCAATGACTTGCGATATTACAGACTGTGCAACGACAGCCTGCCCCCGGGAACTGTGAAGCTGTGACAGACACGAGCCCCCCTTCCTGCGCCTGTCTGTCTGCATTGATGGTCTTAACCGCTACAGATGTGAACCCGCTACTCCACTCATCCGCTCGTATTGTTTTTAAACCTCGAATGGTTTTTAGCTCCTGTGTTCGGGGAAAGTCCCTGTATTTTAACTATTATAATGTTCAGTTTCACAAACCTTCAATATCATTCCCTGCTACAGAGAATGCGTCGGGCCGGTCGCCCTCGACAGACTGACTTCTGGATTCTAAAATAACATGTAGGCCACTTATCTGCACAAGTCAGTTGGAGTACACACACTTTATTATGTATTTTTTTATATAGATTTTTTTTTTTTCTTGTGTCTTTTTTTGTTATCATTCCATTGTGAAATTGTAACATTGCTTCTGGCAAATAAACAAATGCCTTGTTTAGATCTTCGGCTTCATTTACAGCAGCGGTTCTCAACCTATGGGTCGCGACCCCGTTGGGGGTCGAATGACTATTTGCCAGGGGTCACCTAGCGGCTCCCAGCCGCCCGGGAGAAAAAAAACACTTTCTCCCGTAAAGGTTTACTCTGCTCGAACAGAGTAAACCTTTCTTCTCTGTTTTTCTTTTTCCCTGACATCGGGGCCGCAGGCCATCAGTCAGAAAAAAGAAAAAAAAGTGGCTATTGCAGTTTGCAATAGCCAATAGCAAACTAGCTATTGCACCCGCCCTTTGCTGCTGCCAATCAGCAGAGGGGGACCTGCAACAGCCGCGTCGTCCCTAAATTTTACCGTTGGGGGTCACCACAACTTGGCAAATGTTACCAAGGGGTGCCGGCCCTCGAAAGGTTGAGAACCACTGATTTACAGGACAGCAGTGAACTCCAGAAAGATATATTATCCTCCTGAATTCACATAAAAATTTACCATTTAACCCCAGGCGCGTAACTAGAAATAACAGGGCCCCATAGCAAAATTTTGTATGATGTGTGATTTCTAGTTACGCCCACCTGATATCCCAAACAACCCACCTGAGTGTGACCCTGCAGAGCCCACCATAGACACACTATCGTGGGCTCTGCAGGGTCTCAGGTGTGTGCCGGTCAAACCCTCTCACCTGTCAGCCCCGAAAGCTCTCCTCATTCGCTGGGCCCCACCTTCTCCATCACCGGGCCCCTGCCTCCTCCTTTACTGCCGAGCCTCCTCCCCCAGAGCTGCTGGCTGTCACTGACTCAGCAGCAGCTGTGAGGATGAACGTGCCGCTGCACACATCACTGACAGGATGTCAGTGATCTGAACAGCGGCGTGTGCCTCCTCACAGCCTGCAGCCTGAGATGCCATAGCGGCCCACAAAGCATCAGGGGGGTGTCCTGGCTGGGCCCCCCAGGGCCCTGGGAACCATAGCGGCCCCTCCGTGTTGCTTTGGCACATCAGCTTTCCGCCACTGATTAACCCATTGCTCACCGGGGTTACACACCCTCTCCCTGGCCAGGCCATTTTTCACTAATCAGCGCTGCGGTACTTTGACATTTATTCCGTCATACAACGCTGCACGGAAATGGATTTTGTATCATTTTTTTGAGGACACGTAGAGCTTTCATTTTGTGGTATTTAATCACCGCTGAGGTTTTAATTTTTTTACTATATTAAGGAAAAATGGAAAAAAAAAAAACACTTTCTCCTATATTTAAGTTATGAAATCTTTATTACTAACCCGTTTTTTGGTAAAATATGAAAGACGGGGTCACGCCAGCACACATCAGCCAGCATGCAAAAAAAACCTGTAACCGCTAAGGTTAAAAACAGGGGTCTTAGATACACTGCGGAATGTGAAAGTCGCACCGCCTCGTCAAGGCCCCTCTATATAGTGCTGTCCTAACTCTAACCTGTGAGAGTCTCCATCTTGGAGCACATGCAGCAAAAGATAAAATTGGGTGCAGGTTCGCCAGGAGGCAGCCCAACCTGCTTAAAGTGACATTAAAGTTAAAAAAATGTCCCCTCCCCCCAATGTTAGGTATAACACTTACCTTAAATGATGTCACTTAATCCGATCTTCTACCTTCTTTCCTGTTTTTTTCAGCCTCCTCTCCAGCGCTGCTGCGGGTCTCCGATCCAGCGCTGACTCCTCTGTCCTTGCTGGCACTTCCTGTCCCACGGTGTCTGCATGCGGGTGCACGCGTCCATAGACTTACCTTGCGTCTCTCCTCGTCTCCCGCCCGAAAATCTGAACTACTTTACGGCCGCCCGAGCAGTTTCGGATTTTCGGACAGGAGCGCGTGGCAAAGACAGCAGTAAGTTGAAACCGCTTTTAAAGCGAAATTTCTTTTATTTTCTTTTACTTTTGCATATATCTACTGCTTGCTAGCAGTAGATATATGCAAAATAAACGGAGGGTTTAGAAACCCTTTTAAGGCACATCACAACGGCAGATGAGACTCCCAGTGTGTCACTGCACCAAATCAGTCAAGCAAAACAAAAGGCAAACGCACTCCTCAACTCATAACCAGTTTTCAAGCAAGGTGCACATGGAAGGGCTTTATACAGTACAACAGCAAAACGTTTCCCAGCACACTCACCAGCCAGCATGCAAAAAAACTTGTCTAAGGTTAAAAACAAAGGTTTTAGATACGCGTCTTCTGCAGAATATGTGAAAGCCGCACTGCCTTGTCAAGGTTGCTTGACGTCGGGTAAATTAGACACCAAACACGTCAAGCCTTAAAGTTGCGTGCGCCCGCGAAACGGCAAAAAACTGTAATACCCAAAACGGGTGAAAAGCACAGCTAACATACAGCCCCACTCCAGCAAAAAAAAATTATAATTTTTTTTTAAACCTGGAAAGCATCAAAAACGCGGCCAAAACGCACAATCAGTAGCACCGCGCCTGCAGATCCGCACCCGATCAGGGCATGATATCATGTGAACAGGCCCTAAACGTTTTACCACTCAGTTTAGTGTTATCAGTGATTGCTGGCTCTAGACTTATTGCTTGCAGTCCAACATTCGCAGTGAAATGTAACATGTGCAGTGCAATTGTCATTTTCACGCGTTGGAGCAACCAACGCATATTTGCGTTTGTGCATATATGAAGGGATTACATTTTTTTTTTTTATATATTGCTTAACTTTTTTTTTTTTTTTTTTTTACACTTATTGCTATCACATAGGGTGATTGTTATCCCCCTATGTGATAGCACAGGCACACTGACAGGTCCTCTTTATGGAGACATTAGGGGTCTCTAAGCCCCCTAATATCACCTAGGGACCCCCAAAGAAGCTGATAAAGCAGAGATCTGCTTCATCAGCTTCTCTCCAGCTACAGAAACGACTGCTGAATGTGGATGTGATGTAATGCACGTCACTTCCACATTCGGAGATCAGCAAGTGGAACAATGCCGATCTCCCTCCGAACGTCATGCCGAGAGGCTTGTATATGTAACGGCCGTTACCGGCTACTTACAAGTGTCAGTGTGTCTCCTGCTTGTGCGCACATTAGGGGGCACACGTGAGGGAAACAAAATTTACATGATTTTGATGTACAAAATGTTTAGTGGAGATGCAACATCAGCAATTAACTTTTTACTGTAAACTACCTCACAAGGACTAGAGGCCACCACCGAAAATTGCTGGAGAAAATATTTAACCACAAGGGGTGTAGGGGATTCAGATCACTAGTTCGACCTCATCTGGAGTATGCGGTCCAGTTTTGGTCACCAGTACACAGAAAAGATGTCCTTGAGCTGGGAAGAGTCCAGAGGGCAACCAAACTAATTAAGGAGATGGAGGACCAAAGTTATGAGACAAGGTTACTAAATGTAAACATGTTCAGGCTGGAAGTAAGGAGATTAAAGGGGGGACATGATTTTGATGTACAAGATGTTCCAATGGTGATGGCAACATCAGCAACAAACATTTACAGCGAACTCCATAACAAAGACTAGAGGCCACCACCTAAAACTGGTGGAGAAAAGATTTCAGCACAAGGGTCAAAGGGGCTTCTTCACAGTTCGGGCGGTTAGGGTTTGGAACTCACTGCCGCAGAAAGTGATTTCAGCTGTCAGTATTGAATCTTTCAAAAAACACTTGGGCGATTTCCTCAGAGACCGACACATTCAGAGGTACAGGTTCTGTTAAGAACAAGAACACGAGGGGACTCGTACACAAGCATACACATCCAGAGTAACATGCATACAATGCAATGGGTTGAACTTGATGGACCTGTGTCTTTATTCAACCTCAAATACTATGTAATTTAGATACCGTCCTCAGAGACCATAACATACAGGGGTACAGGTACTCTTAAAAACTAGACCACCCAGGAACTTGTATACACGCCCACAATCGCACAAAGGTTGAACTTGATGGACCTGTGTCTTTATTCAACCTCAAATACTATGTAACTACCGGTATGAGTATGTTGGTTAATCTCACAGCAAAGAACTAGGAATGTGCACTCCTATATCTTATGGCGAGATTTTCATTAAAATGGTCTGATGACAGGGTCTCTTTATAAGGAAAAGTGGTGGTGCGGGGTTGGATGTATAAGGAGTTTGGTGAAGTGTTACCTCTGGACCAGAATGTGCTTTGGAATGTCCTCATCATCCAGTCTGACACGGGAATGCAAACAACATGAATGAATCCTGCTCAGCACCGGTCTGCACATACCGGCAGAACAGGTCAGCTATGAAAATATTTCAGTGTTTCGCCATAGACTTGTATAACCCTCTACCAACTTTCCGACATGTTCACTATTGTAGTACAGAGCAGAATCAATGGGATGGGCTACACAATTAACATTAGTGTGCACAATCTTTATAGCTGTATGTGAACACAGGAAGCAATACCTGATGCTGATCACATCCTGTGCTTGCTGCTTCTGCTGCACTGTTACAGTTAGCGTTGTTCCCACCTAATATACATACTTCCTTTCTAGGGTGACAACACTGCTCCTCCTTACCGTGCAGCGAGTTAGCGTGGTCATGCATGGACAGAAAGAGTGCTATTGGCAGGATCACCAGGCAAAAAAACGAGGGGGGAAAAAAGGCCTGAATGACAACTAATGCAGCTTACATGTTCTTAGATGGGGTGGCTGCATTCGTTGACCCTCCCCCAACCCCTTTTATACCGCCAGTAACTAACTTTCTGTCCTACGGTGACGAT